GTTTGTGTCTAAGGTCTTGTTTTGGAATTATTATAACTTCCTAATAAAATGTAACTTTGAAAATAATCTTACTGTTCTGCTCTAGACTTTATAGTTGTCTGTGTAACGAGAAACAACAGAACCTAATATAACATCCTGAATTCTGTATTTTGAATATGAAGAGACTAAAATGCAAAGGCCACGTCACCTAAGACAGCTGATAGAAAGCAATCTGATCTGCTGCGAGAATTTCCTGTGTTGAGCCACAGAACTTATACTTACAGCCACCACATTCAAGCTGCTGCAAGATATAAGCCCTGGAAAGTGGCAATAGCCTTTGTTCCTTTCAGAACAAAGTATACATTTTTTCTAACAGCCTATAAGAATCAACAGCACCTGGGACAATATAGCTCCTTGCATGTTTTGTAAGTTTTCGTTTCGGTGACAGAAACAACTGAAGAGATTGTTCAATTAAATACATTCAGTATCAACACGTTTATTTGACCACACAGATTGAAGCAGTTTACTTCCTAGAGACTGAGGAAGAACCAAAAGGAATTGCCATCTTAAGTGTCCATTCTAGCTACCTACAGTCCCCACTGGCAGGTGGTTATGAATGCATCACTCTTGCTATTATTCTGAAAATGAAAGCAGCCAGAAACAATGGACTGTTTCTTAAAAGTCAATACAGTTTTACAGCTGTTCTGTAAAGCGTATGCTTTGGTATCAACATTCAGAACAAATTATCTAAGCAGAAAACAAGTGAAAATTAAGTGGTTAAAATCATCAGGCTTGGTGGTTCTCCATCCTTCTGATGGGACTTTTCTGTAAATTCAATGAAGCACAAAGTAAAACTATTGGATTTCTATTTCTAAGAATTTATGCAAGTCTGATTCACTCCATTGAAGTAATCTGATTTAGGCTGAAATGAGTAAGAATATAAGTGAAGTATGGTATTATGCTCTCCATTGATCATTCTCTAGGGACCTCACTGGTATAATGATTTTGTTGGTATCACTGAGGGTAGTATTTATCCCCAGGGTGTGAAACGCTGTCCTGACTGCAAAAAAAAGCCTAAGTTCTTCCTTCAGTAGGGAACAACAGCACCTTTCTACCCATTTCTGCTGCAGGAATTAAAGAAGAGTGGGAAAATTTGAAAGGTGGCTTTAAATTTATTTAGTGCCTGCTGAATATCAGCTTATAGAACAGGGAATTCACAGATTAGTGAAAGAATGGCTGCAAAACATCTGAAAACTAGGGAAGGTGCATTAAGATTCCTCCACTGGCAAACTTTGGTTTTATGGTGAGATAAAAACCATTCCATCAGCTGTGTCCAAATAGGAAACTCCTTGTGCAACTAATTCTGCCCTGGATACCTTTTTATTTACTATTTGTTCCTTTCTCACTGCTTCAGTAGCTCTACCGGGACTGCAGCAGCGCAAAGAACAGTGCTGAGACTTGCTATACTAGGCCTGTTTATTGTCTGAAAATTTCTCCAAAAGCTACTGAAGAACCTACAAGTAATTGGATTTAATCCCAGCTGTGGCACAGTCCATAAAATGGAAATGAAAAAGAAACCTTCAAAAGCAGCTATAACACCCCAAACAATAACAGGCTTGTATTTGATTGCTCTAAGTGTAGCTTTGTGCTGGAGTGGAACTGAACTTGTCCTGAGATCAGAGGAAAAGCCTTTTTATTGCCCTCTTGTTTAACACTCTTTCTATTCTTTAAGTATTTTTCATTAGCTGACATTTTGTCATTATCCTTATTAATTTCCAAAAAGCAGGCCAAATTCAGATCTCAGTCACACCAATGGAAAACCAGAATAGCAACATAAAATATCACTGTTATTCTAGCTTTACGCTAATGCAAGTGAAACTGGATTCTGGCTGACTATTGTGTCATACCAAAATAAAGGTAATTTAAATCCAACTTTAGTCATCAAGCTTCACTAAAACAGCTCAAACGTAATGCTGATAGATCTGGCATTTTATCTGCCTGGCACAGCTCACAAGTGTGACTACCCACACTTACGAGACCCACTGCTCTGGAAGGACCACTGTATAAGGTAAAAAGGCTGAAGAGAGCATGCTTTGCCTGCAACATGACATACTAAGTCAAAAGGTTCTACCCCTCACATTTTGAAAAAGAGAAAGCATTGGTCTCATCCTACCTCAAACAAAACAGTAGGTGTCAGGTGTCAAATTTACTTAATTTTGACACTTCCTTTGGAAAAAACATTTCGATTTGTGATTTCAAGTTTCTTAGTTGCTTAAGTATGAATGAAAAAACTTTCAATACTCCTTTGCATTACTTTGATCTGTATTAGTCTTCTGTTTTCTTTTCACCCTTCCTCTGATGTTCTCCTGTACACATCCTGCGCCTTTCTATTTTTCCCCACCTGCATATGGATTTTCTGACCATCAGCATTTTGTCTCATTTTTAGCCAACTGCATATTCTGCTACATTCCTTTGGTGACTGCTAAGTACTATGTTACACCTCGTTGCTCTTGTGTTTTATATTAGCTTTTACATCCTCCCTCTCTTCTTTCAAGAACTCCTCTTGGTCCAAGCACTGTCTACTTTGCGGTCTTCACTGTCTCCTTTTTCCAGCTGTTAACCAGCATCCATACTCACCAGATCCTGGAAAATGCTCCCCGGCAAATTTTGGGAGAAACAGGTCTCTTTAGCAGACTCTAGTGGGAATATATTGAGTTAGTTCCTTAACCTACCACCTCCTTCCTTTTTGTCTGGAAGTCACTGTTACTTAATGAGTCCAACTCTACTCTTTTGGTCTGCAAGCTTGAGACATAACTGATTTAGGGGATGACAATTTTTAACATTTAAGTAAAACATTACTAACTAATAAATCAACCAATATTCTAACTAACAGACACACCAGCGTTAGTAATTTACAATTACACCATTACTCACTCTATTACACAGCTATTACAAAGTGGTTATCACAAATCCTATGAATGACATACTTCCAATGTTATTATCCTTTCCCCTATATATCACACAGTACTAGGGTACATTTCCATGCTCCTTTTTTCTTCTACACCAAGTCTCCTGGAGATCGACCTGGTGGAGAATCCAGTGGGTTACCCAAAGTGGCTGTCTGATGCCCTGGTGAGCTTGGACATGCAGGTCACTTTCATTACTATCTGTGGGCATCTGCACTCATATTGTTGGAGCGTAAACCCCCTTCATTCTTTAACAGATCTTAATCTTTCCTCCTCCATTTTTTTCATGTTTCTGAAACAACCTTTATACCGCTCTTGTCCCTGCCTTTATCTACCTACCTAAATTCCCCTCAAAGAAGCAACCTGCCTTAAATTACTTTTTAATCATTGGTCCCAATTCTGCTACATCTGTACCCAAAGATGCTATACTGACGTCTTCATAATGGCAGTCTCGGTCTTTGCAGGGTATTAGAAATACAGTTGCTTAGGTATGGGTAGCCTTGCAAGCCTCCACATGCCAAGTATCTGGTTCATGTTGGAAAAAGTTTGTTTTCCTTGTAAACTTTCTAGGACAAATAACTCTAGTTACGTGTCGAATCCTTTCCCTAGTTACACTTCAGCACAAGCAATTTCTTTCTCTTAATCCGCCTCCTGGTCCCTGATAGAAGCTTTGGCCAGTTAGGAGGCCTCGTGCTCCAGCTGGAGCTGGTGGTCTGAGAGGAAGAGCAAAGCAAGTGGGAAAGGTAAGGCATCTGCAGGAGTCTCAGTGACACTGGCGACTGCCCTGCAGTCACACTGCCACTTGCATCGTTTTAGATCATTTCCAAAGGACATCTATCCTTGCTAGGGACTTAATGATCTCTGAAGTAACACGGGGCAAAAAACCAAACCAAACCAACACGTTTCTCCTGTTGTTTTGTTAAAAATTTAGAAAAAGTAAATAAATCCGGACAGGTGCAGGAAGACGAAAAGAAGAGCTCGCCCGCCGGGCGCCCAAGCCTGTCCCCACGGGGGGGTGCCCGCCCAACTGCCGGGCTGTGCTGCCACCGCGTGGGAGAGCCGCCGCTGCCACCACCCCACGAAGCCGCCCCGCCGCGGGGGGGAGGGGGCGCGGACCGCCTCCGAGCGACAGGCCGCGGGGCCGCCGCCCATCTGCTGCGGGGTGAACACGGGTGGGTGGGAGGGTGGGAAGGGGGGCGCCTCCCAGGGCGCGGCGCAGGCACCGGAACCTTCCCTCCTGGCTTACGGTGACGCTATCGCTATTCAAGCTAGAATTAGCTCTACGGCGTTTTAACTCTTCCCCGGAGGACAGCGAGTCACGGCTTCAGTGTATAAACTGATTATTAACGACTTGCTAACGACTCTGCCTTTGGGGAGGAACTGGGGGGCTGGTAACAGGGGAACATCCTGCCCCGAAGGTGCTGAAAGTTGAGCCGATGACGGATAGAGTCAGCAAAAACCTATGGTAACTGCGGGGAAAAATAAAGACGGCAGGGGGAGATTCGCGATCGCCGACTCAACTTAAGAGCAAAAAGACTTGCTCTTCCCCGCCCCCTCGCGTTTGCACAGAATGATAAAAACACTTTAAACCAAGGCAAGTTGTTTACCAATGAGGAACAAAGCGATACGAAACGAGCCCATGGCCATTGCAGCAAATGCGCAATTCGTGTAGTTCGAAGTGCGTGAATACCCTGACGTCCTTCCACGCGGCGTGCTAGCCGCGTGGACTCGCCTCCCCAGCACCCACTCCCGCCTGAAACTGAAAGCAGCACCACAGCCTCCCCCGCGGGCCTCCCTCCGGCCGAGGGGCAGAGCGGGGCCGGCCGCAGCCTGACCCGGTGGAACGTGTCCGTGTCCGTGTCCGTGTCCGTGTCCGTGTCCACGGCCGGGGGCGCCGGAGCCGGAGCCGCACCCCGCACCCCGCCACCCGCAAGGCCCCTCCCGGCCCAAACCGCGCCTTAGTCCGGCCCCCTCGGCCAATGAGAGCGCTCATTGCCTGCCCGCCTTTTCCCGCCCGCCAATGAGAGCGAGGCGCGAGGCGTATCCCCGCGGCCCGGGGGCGAGAGCGGGCTGAGGGGGGAAGATGGCGCTGCCGCCGCAGCTGAGGGAGAAGGGAGGCGGCGGCGGCCGCCGCCGCCGGCATGCGAGGGGCTCTGAGGAGCCCCTCCGCTTTGTCGAGGGCTCCATCGTCAGGATCTTCATGGAGAACTTTCTGTGAGTGGGCGCTGCCCTTTTTCTCCTTCCAGGTGGCGGCTCGGCTGAGCGGCGGCCGTGGGCTGCGGGTGGCGTGCCGGTGGCCGGCCTGGGCCGCCTCAGCTGCCTGCGCCCCCGCCTCGCCTTACGGCGGGTGCGGGTCTGGGCAGCCGGCGGTTGAGCCGGGAGGGGCAGGCCTGGAGCATCGGGCTGGCGAGGCGGGGGCGCGCTCGCTGCGGCCATTCCCCGCCGCGGAGCGGGGAGTCTCCCGCGGTTTAACGGGGGGCCTTAATAAGGCCTTGGATGCCGAGGCGAGTCGGGCTGGAGGAGGGAGTGCGTGGAACGTTCTCTCCCTGAACGGTGGTCAGAGCTGGAAGAGGACCTGTTGTGTGGGTTACGAGCCCCGCAGGTTCCTAGTGCGGTGTCGCTTCCGTGGGGGTGCATTCCCCAGCGGTGGTTGTGTCGGCTCTTCTTCCCCTAAGGTGGTGGTTCCTGTTGTCCGTCTCTACCTCTGCGTGCTTTTTTTTTTTTTTTTTTGTTTCCTCTCAGTCGGGTGATTGTCAAGCAGTGGAGGAGGGGTGAGCGAGGAAGATGTTCATAGAGCAGTGGGGACAGGCCTTGAGAACCATTAGGCTTAAGTATCCGCGGTGTTATCTTTTGCATATGCTTTCTCCAGCTTCTGGGTAGTGGGAATACTATTCTGTTTGGAGGTGTTATAGTTACAAGTAGAAGTTTTCAGTTCGATTTCTTATGGCTGGTATGCTGATAGCTCCATGTCAGCCTTGAAAACAGGTCTAAGTAGCGTGGTTCACACTATGGATGTCAAATGAAGCTTCAGGCATAGTGTTTAGTTAATACCTTCTCTTCCAGAAGTACGTGGTTAATGTTGTCTTATTACTAACTGCTTTCTGTTTCTTTTTTGGTGTTAGTGTCTTAGTTCCTCTCTGTGTGTTTGGTACAGTGTGGGAACACAACATTGAATGGTGGAGTTTGTTACAAATTTGGGATGTTAGTTACCACACCAACATTAATGGTTTGTCTTGAATTTGCATGCTAGGGCTTCATCTCTTCCTGTAGTTGCAATTGCAGTAAACGTGCTGGATGCCCATGATGAAAGATGTATAATATAATTTAAAAAAATAAAAAAACACTGATAACATTTTATGTGCTTGTAAGTCAAGAAAGCTACTGCATGATGAGTTCTGCAGACTTCTTGCAGAGTTTAAGACCCAAGTACGTTGTGAGTTAGACAAGAAGAATATTCTGTGACTGTGGTGCAGCAGGCAGCTGGAATTAAATGTCACAGACTTGATTGAATTCACTCAATTTTTAGGTTTTTTTTTTTTTTTTAATTAATATGTAAAATAATATATTATCCTAGTAAAATCAATAGAAATTGTAATTTTGTGGCCAGATTTCTTTCTTTATAATAATTTGTTTTGAAGAAAGTTGATGTAAGTAGTCTGACTGATATATTTCATAGTGTTTTGTTGTAGTGTTAGTTTTCATGCTGAGATTTTCTTACAAAAGAGTATTTGAGTCTACATTTGATAAAATATCTGTCTTATCTAATAAAGTGTTTTTAAGCAAGTACCTTTTTTAAGGTGACATAGTGTTTATAAGGTCAAAAAAATGATTATGTTTTCCAGAACATATGACATCTGTGAAGTACATCCAGGGCCCAATCTGAACATGATTGTAGGTGCTAATGGAACAGGGAAGTCAAGCATTGTTTGTGCCATCTGCCTGGGACTGGCTGGAAAACCTTCATTCATAGGGCGAGCTGATAAGGTAACTATGAATTTATGTAATTTTTATGTTTAATCCGAATTCAGTAAGAGTTCTGTCCAGCACAGGAGGGTAAAAAAGACTGTATTCCTTGATTTACTTTAATTTTAGAAAAAGTGAGGTGTCCAGATTGTAGAATAACCTGGTCCAGAGACATCGTTTTTTAACAAAGGGGTTTTGTCTTGCTTAACTACTTGTTTTCTTGTCTGGATTATGAAATGGAGACACCTGAATTCTACCAAAACCTGAGCAGTCTAGAGGTTACACTTTAAGATTTCTAAGCCCTCACAGTAGGGTATGGAAATGCTACTTCATGCATAAATAATATTTGATCAGCAATGCCAACTAAAGGAGAAATTAAAAAAAAAAAGTCTAAATTAAATTTCTAAGTATATTGAACCTGTAGTAATAACATATCCTTAATGTGTCTGAGAATTTATCTCAAACATGGAGCCACTGAGCTGTTGTTGTTTTCTTGGAGGTTCTGATTGGATGGAATATATTTTATTAGATCTTTGGAGCACTGAATCTGGGTACCTGTATGACTGTACATACTCTCTGATTGCAGCTCAGTCTTGAGCAAATGTAAATATGGGAATTGACTGCATGGCAGCACTGTGAGTAGGTATTTTTATTAGCTTTACATGTTTACATATTTTTTATACTATTAGAATTGGCAGTTATATTACTACAGATAATTGGCAATCTCTTCCATTTGTATTGCCTTTGTTCCCCAAATTCATGAGACTGTCTTCCTCTCTGTGAATCTGCTGATTATAATTTGTTCAGTTTTGGAGTCTGGAATTGGTCAGAAATTGTTAACCTGTGAAGGAAGTTCTAATGTTGCTAGTTGATAAGATAATAACATCTTCCCTTTATTTTTGGTTAATACACAACCAAAATAAATTTTAAATTGTAAGTTTTCAATAGACTATCCCATTACAGCAACTCTATTGTACAAATACATATTTTAATACATGTTATTTTGCAATAATGACTTCTATAATTAATTTTGTAGGTTGGTCACTTCGTAAAGCGGGGCTGCCTGAAAGGTGTAGTAGAAATTGAGCTGTAAGTAGTAAAATTTTATTTCCTCATGCATTTTTAATTAGATTATTTCCCCACATAGTCATTCACAAAGTTGTGTTTAAGAAAAAAAAATCTGGTGTACAGAGGTCTGTCTTTAAGCTGGTGATTTACTTTTTTCTTTTTTTTTTTTCGCCAAGACTGCAAAATTTTAAAGTTAAACAATTAGCATGTAAGAAATAAGCAGTGATGGCTGGTCTTGATTTTGCTTTTTGAACCATTTTACCTTGTCTTGATGTACAAAGAATGTATAGTTAAAGATTGATGTATATGGTGTGTTTAGCTTTTGATTACACTTAAGGTTCAGATGAGTCAGATACAGTCAGTACTGCCATTGTGACATAGTGGTTGGAAATTATTTTTAAAGAATAAAAGAAAGACAGAAATCTGAATTTTAAAACCAGATGTTCTGCTTTTGGTTCTTATACTGATACTGCTGGTATGAAGGGCTCCACTGCATTCGCACTGAAAGCATCACATACGGAATCAAAAGAAGAATTAAAAAAAAAAGGTAGATCTGGCTAATGCAATCTTCTAGATAAGCTTCTGCAAAACAAAGCAACTGAAAATCACTTGGACTTACTATCATTCCATCAGTAACTTGTGGTTATTAGGGCAATATGACATGCTTCCTGTAAGTTGGTGGGGGTTTGTTTTTGTTTTTGTTTGGGCTTTTTTTTGACAACTAGAGAGACTATCCTAATCGAGTTACTAAATGGCTTCTTTTTTATGAAGATCTTAACATGAAGCTGAAGTAGCACAGGTGGCTTTGACAGGCCTTAACCTGATCTGTTTGCCTGAACTAAATAGAACATTAACCTAATCAACAGATTCAGAGCCTGAGTTAATTTGTACAACAATTGGCCATCTGGGTCAGATTGCATAAAAGTAAAATTGTGTTAAGCAAAAGAGATATACAGGAACAGGTGTTTGAAAAAAATCCTGTTCACTTTTATTCTCGTGGGAGTGATCAAGTAAGACATTCTTCAGAGACTGGCCAAGCAATGGGTCAGGAGGTAAGATGTCTTTTAGGTAGACTGTGTGATTGTTTCAACACAGATGTATTCCTGATGTTGCTTGGAGTTCTGAAGAGAGGCTTGCAGTAGGTGAAGACTTGGCATTTTTATTCTAGTGGTTGCAGTATAATTCAGTCCTCTGTCAAATCGGTACAAAATACTTAAATGCAGTGTCTACAGTAGAGAGCAATTGTCTTGGTTTGGGCTGAAATAGAGTTAATATTCCTTTTCAGGGACTAGATGAGTGCTGTGTTTTGGATTTAGCTTTGGGTTTGGTGTGAGAAGAATGCTGACAGCACACTGATGTTTGCAGCTGCTGCCGAGACTTCAAGGCCTCCCCGACTCCCCATGTCCTGCCCGTGTGCCAGGGCACAGGGAGCAGGGAGGGAGCACGGCCAGAGCACCAAACCCAAACTGGCCAGTGAAATATTCCATATCATGGGACGTCATTCTCACTACATAGAGGAGGGGTGGTTGGGAAGGAGCTCTCTCTCTCTCGCTTCCGGGATTGAGATTGTGGGATCTTGGTATCTCGGGGTCGCTGGCCGGGAACGGGCTGGGGGTTGGTCAGCGGGTGGTGAGCAATTACGCTGTACATTGCCTGTTTATATATTTCTTTTTGTTTTCCCCCCATCATCGTTATTGTTCTCGTTTTATTGCCATTATTAAACTGTTCTTATCTCAGCCTGCGAGTCTCCCTTCACCCCTCTGATCCCCTCCCCCATTCCCAGGTGGGGAGGGGGAAGGGAGGGCGATTAGCTGCGGGGGTTGGTTGCCGATCAGGCCCAAACCACAACAGCAATGATGCAGAACGTTGCTTTTTGACAGGAATTTTAAAATTTGAGTCCCATAAGCATGTACTGTTTTAGTTGAATTTGGCTCTCAGTTTGTAATTAAAATCAAGAGCTGTAGTAGTATAAGGTCCTTAATTTGATAAAATAAAGGAGGGTGGCTTTGTAAGTCTTTTGAAGGAAGTCTGGTATCTTAAAATAATGTAGTGGAAAACTGAGGAAATAATCTTAAACTCAAGTAGGCTCATATCACTAGTACACTTACTGCAAACTCTGCAAGCTGCTGAATACTTTGAATACTTCTTCTTTGACCTCTATTCTTATGTCTGGTAAGGTTCATGGCCTTGAAACTGTTATGAGCTCTTATCCTCCATCTTTAGCAATATGCTGTGTCGTGGTTTGAATCTGGTCAGCAGCCACTCACTCCCCCTTCTCTCCCAGCAATGAGAAGGGACAAATGAGCCAGGCTTGGGTTTTGTGATAGGACAGGGAGGGGCAGATCACCCTTTATGGTCACAAGCAAAAGGCAGACTCGTTAGGGGAAGAAAAAAAAGAACATACATTTATTACAGACACTAACAACAGTTAACAGAGTAGGACAGTGAGAAGCATTGCCACATCTTGAGAACACCTTCCCCCCACCTCTCCCTTCTTCCCGGGCTCAGTTCTGCTCCCCATATCTCTACCTTCTCCCACAGTGGTGCAGGGGCAGGGAATGGGGGCTGCAGTCAGTGCTGCTGCTGCTTCCATCTTCGTTGGGGGGAGCTTCTGGAACTTGTTCCTCCTGCTCCATCGTGGTCCCCCTCTCACAGGACACAGTCCTCCACAAACTTTCTGACATGAGTCTCTCCCATGGGCTGCAGCGTTCCCCACACTGCTCCATCATGGGTCACCAACTTTTTCCAACTGCAGTCCCCCCCACAGGCTGCAGCCCTTCCCGAGCTGCTCCGGTGTGGGACTCCCCCCGCATGCTGCAATCCTCCCAGCACTGAACTGCAGCAGTGGGTCTACCTTTTCCCATGAGACCCCGGCCTTCTTCGGGCACAGAACCTTGACCATCCAGGTGAAAACCACAGGCCATAAATCAGTGTCTTCTCCACTGCAGGCCTTCATGGGTGGCAGGGGGGGCCGCCCTGCTGTCTCACCACAGGATACAGGGGGGTCTCTGCTCCAGCACACCTCCCCCCTCCTTTCTTCCTCCGTTCCTCCACTGACCTTGGTGTTCATTCAGCTGCTGCAATTCTTCCTCACCAGTCTTACTCCTCCTCACCACGTCCCTTCTTAAATACGTTATTGCAGAGGCGCAACTGATTGGCTCAATTTCCCAAACAGAAGTGGAGCAGGCATGGAGCTGGGGGAGCTTTGAGAAGCTTCTCACAGGGGGCCACCCCTATAGCCCCCTCCCCTGCTACCAAAAACCCCACCACTTACTCAAACCCAGGACATGCTGACTGAATAGGTACTAGATAATTTCTAAATCAAAATGGTGACCAAAATTTCAAGAGTTTGACTGACTGCTCATTTGTTATTGATGCATCTTAATGAGACTAAATTTTTGAAGGTAAGTGTTAAGCTAAAGAAGTGGACAACTTTGATGCATCTTTGCTGTTATTTAAAAATCAGTAAACAAAACCAAATTACTGTGTTTCATACTGCATGATACTAATTTTATTCCCAAATGGAATCGGTATACACAGCTTGTTGTATGTAGTTCTGTATGCTAATATTTTTTACTTTCAAGATATAGCATTAGTGTATATCTCCTGCTTACCAATTTTAAAATCTACTAAATGTCATACTAAAAATACACTTTTATATAAACTATTCACAGCTGTAACAACTGATAAATCATTCATACATTCATCATGAGTATGTCATTTATATAAGTAACTTTCTCTGTGTTAAGATTTGCAGATACTCTTGATGTTTTCTTTGTGACATTAATCACTGAAGTACTGGATGTTTTCTGAAGCATAAAATGTGAATCTGCTGCTACTGTTGAGTTAATTTATAGTAAATATTTAGATACCGAAAAGTTTTAATAATATAACTCTAACATACTTTGACACTTGGTAACTTTTGCATATTCTCAAATGTGTAAACATTTCTTTTTATTAATCAGGTCTAAGATGCCTGACAATATCACTATCACACGTGAGATTCAAGCGGTGAACAACACATCAACGTGGTTTATCAACAGAAAGCCAGCAACCCTGAAAGCAGTAGAAGAGCAGATTGCAGCCTTAAACATCCAGGTGGACAACTTGTGCCAGTTTCTTCCTCAGGTATGAATGAATTTTGAAAGACAGTGAGTGTGAATGGAGTTCTGTGTTTTGAGAGCGTTTTGTTGTTGCATCTTAGCTTTTGTAGCACTTCAGTGATTAATGGGACAGCACAAAGAATAGGAAGGATAAGGCAGCCATAGTGCTGTGATGATGAAAGAAATGAGGAACTGTGTGATCTTTAAGGCTCAGTAATTGGATGGTTTTGTATCTGCTGTCAGTTGATACTGCAAGTGAAGCTGCTGGTATTCCCTGTGTTTGTGCTCAAGTAGCAGCACAAGTAGTGGTATCTCTGTTGTGTCTGTGCTGCTGTAGGGATGTTCTTCAACAGCAAACCTGTAGGGAAATTTTTAAAAGGTCTTGAGATCTAGCACTTTCTCTGTACCTTTACCTGCATAATTCCTGTAGTTCTGCATCCCTGACTTTCCCACTTAATCCCTCCATGCACTTTTCTCTGGTTATATCCAGTCAGTTCCTCAGAGTTGTTTGGATTTCTTTCTCCCAAAAAAACAGAAAGCAGTCCTACTAAATGACACTACAGTTGCACCAGAGACTGCTGCTAGAGCCTTTTTGATAACATCTGTGGCTCAACAGTTTCTTAAGCATAGCATAGGACTTAAATTATTTGATCCTAAATATCTTTAAGAATAAAATGATCCTGATAGAAAATAGCTCCTAAAAAAGAGACACAATTAAAGAATATTACAACCAGTTTCCATACTTGCATTCATACTCAAGCATGTCAGGATTTCTGTGCAGATAGCAAAGTTGCCTCACAGTCCTACCTTAAAGTTACAGCAGACTCCTTCCTAAGACCTTCCCAGTTTGTGTGGATCATAAGGGAAACCTTATCAGAGCCTACCCCCCACCATGGATTTGTTCTTCTATTGAAGTGCATTCAAGAAGACATGCTGAAAAACATTGAAATTTAGACTACTAATATTTATTGCAGAAAACAGATATTCTGGGGTGTTTGTTTTTTTTTTTTTTTTTATTGCATATTCACAGTATTTGTTTAGAATATAAATTTCTGCATACTTTGCCAACATAACACTTGTATTTAAAACAGCTTTTTTTCTTTAGTACATAAATGTCAGTTCAGTGAATATTACTGTGTTGAAAGTTTTGGTTTATTTGCTCTCTGCCACTGTGGCAGTGTCAAGCATGCCTTTCACACCAGTCTTGTTTTGGAGATGTTCCTCTGCCTTGGACAACAGCAATGCTTCCTGATACCCTTGGCTGTCAGCCTTGATATTGGCTTAACTCGTAGCATTTATTTAGCACTGTTCTAATACTGTATTTTTCTAACTTTTTAAATTTATTTTGTAGGACAGAGTTGGAGAATTTGCAAGACTGAGTAAGGTTGAGTTGCTTGAAGCCACCGAAAAATCCATCGGTCCTCCAGAAATGTACGAATTTCACTGTGAACTGAAAAAATTCAGGGAGAAGGAAAGAGAACTGGAGGTAAACATGCACATTATGAAGACAGAGCAGTGACTGTAGGTAAATTAGCATAATAACATTTAATGTAAGATCTTACAGAATTAGAAGATGGAATTTATTTGGAAAGTCTACACTAAGTTCACCAAATCATGCTCATCTTCTCTCAGAATTCATTCACTCCAACACTCACATGTTTGTAAGCACGAAGATGCATGTGCACGTGGTTGGGACACAGAGGACAAGTGATGCCTGTTGTCAAGTAGTCATCACTTCTCTGGAATTCTTGACTGCCGACACTTTTCTAGACAGATTTTTTTTTTTTATGCTTTTTAGGAGTCATCAGTGGTTATAGGGCGGTTCTCTGCTTTAATTTTGCTGAGTTCAGTAAATTATGGACAAGGTTGTTGTCTGCTACCTGTTTTTCCTGGTTTGAAATACCAATGGCCAAAGAGGAAAGGAGAGTGTATGCAGTAAGCTGCAGCCTTGTTGCCTTCCTGGTTTTAGGACACAGGGTCTTTCCCTGACTGTTACTTGTACTGGGATCTTTGCAGAAATAATGTGCTCCTTTCTCTTACTGCTGGGAATGGTGTCTTGGGAGCAGTGTCTGTCGTTAGGCATACAGGCCATTCTTTTAACCCGCTGTTCTGCTGTTTCTTCTTGTGCTTGTGTGAATACATGTATTTCTGCTCATATATATTACATTCAAATACCAACCGTAATGTTTCTGTTACAAATCTCTACAAGATCTTTCACAAGCATTTTTACTACTTGTATTTGTTGAAAGTAGTTACGGTGGTTTATGGAGGCTTGAGCTGTGGGGAGTAAATTTCTCAGAAAACTAAAAAAAAAAATTAAAGTATTTTCTTCAGATTAAAATATCTGTTTAAATTAGATTTGTTTTCAAAGAAAGTATGTGATAAAGGTACTTGAAAAATCTGGAGAGGTCTTCCTAGTCTGGTTGTTCCCCTCTAATTACTGCTGTACTAAAATGTCCTCTCAAGTGTTAGATTTCTGCTTTAATGTTCAGGTGAGGTGTAGACTATTTCTAAAAAGTGTTTTCACAAAGTAGATACTGTAAAACATGAACATGTATATCCTTACAGAACTTGTGTAAAGACAAAACTAACTCTTTGGAGAGAATGATACAGAGGACTGAACGTTACAAACAAGATATTGAGAAATTCCATGAGCACAAGCGCCATCTAGACGTAATTGCAATGCTTGAGAAGAAGAGGCCTTGGGTGGTAAGTTTTTATTTTCAGTGTTTTTCTTACATGACCCCCTTTTCCTAATACTGCAATATTAGAAATATGCCAGAAGTTTCTTTGAAATAAATTTGACCAGAGTAACTTGAGCATCATTGCAATTGCTTTGTGCAAAGAGTCCAGGTCTTGAAATACTGTTCTTGGCCTAACTTTGATCAGAGGTTTGCTTGCATATGTAGCTGGACTGAAGAAGTTGCTTAAGAAGTAACTTAGGTAGTTCCTGCCCATTTAGGAAAGCCAGCCATATGGGCCAAGAGTATTACTCTGAGTAGTACTCCTTTTATTTCTGGCAGACCAACTGGCTTAATTTAACCTGTGCCTAGCCAGTTCTACTTGCTTCTTCCAGCTATAATTATTTTTTTAACAGGCTGTGGGTTTTGCTGGGTTTTTCTGTGGGTTTTTTTGTTTGTTTTGTTTTTTTACGGGTTGCCTTTCCCCTTTGCTAATTTTAGTTTAATAATTGAGGTTTGGTATGCATGACATGACTCGTGGTGAATATAGGTTGCCAATCTCAAAAATGTTGGCATTTGTAGAGATAGAAATTTTAAACAGATTTAAGAGCCTAAAATCAAGGACAGGTCATTTATATAAAGCAGAATAGGTCTTTCTGAACAGCATTTTGACGATGGTAGTTTAACTTAATGTTGAATGGTCAGTTATGTTCTATTTTTATAAACCATTTAAGCTGATGGATTTTATAATATTGAAGCAATATGTTGTTTGTCGTCTTTGCAAGCTTTATAGAATTAATGAAGTACAGAACAGAATTTACGAAAACTTACATATAATATTTGTGGGGGATGCAGAAAACTTTTGTAAGGTATTTGTTGAAATTCTGCAGATAACAAAGCCTCACATGGGTATACGAAGAACTTTTATGCCCTTCATATCTTGAAGAGCAATTGAATTCAGGGGATGTACTTTCACTGCCTTCAAACCTCTGTGGTAACAGCAAAGAGGGATATAGGAGCAGCAATGGAAATGGGTGGATGGTGGTAGCTGCTAACTAAGGAGGTGGACTGTATGCTCCTTGCACTTAGGACTGGGCTTCTGCACTTGCTGAGCGATGCAGGTTTTTCCTACTACACATGCATTAGCTTGGCTTAGTTAACAAGAAGAGAGAGTTATTTTATTAGGAGAGATGAATGTTTTGCATAATCTAGACTGGTACTGATTGTTCTCTGTTATTAGATATTTGTAGATACAGAACTCTGAAAGCCAGTCAGAAGCTGGCAGGGGAAAATTGCAAATTGCAAATTGGTCATTTCTTCTGCTACTTGAATTGCATATTATTTAAGAACCATTAAATGTGGGCTTGTTCACTGAAGACTAAATGGTCCCTACATCTCCTAGTCATAGTGACTAGTAACAGGAGGAACACTTAAGTAGCTGCTCTAATACTAGCTTCTAAATGAGGTTTTTCTCTTAAAACTCATGTACAATTAAATAAAATGTCAGACTGGTATAAAATACTGGAAGAAAAGATAAAAATATGTAATTATTTTACTTTCAACTCCTCCTAGGAATATGAAATTGCTCGTCAGCAGCATGAGAAAGTGAAAAAAAGCAGAGACCAAGCCAAGGAAGAACTGAAGAATCTGAAAGAAATGCAGACCCCTGTGAGAAAAAAAATCCAAGAAGCTGAAAAATATTTTAAGAGTCTGGATATGAAAATCAAAGATAAGGTCGGTATTTTAAGTTGGCAGTTAATTTATGTAGTATGTCAGGTGTTCTGTGTTCAGCTTTATAGAGTGTAAAGTGTAAAATGCCTCTTTCTTTCCAGTGTGCCATGTTGTGTTTCAGAAGAAATTTTTCTGAAGTACTTATGCCCTTGGTTTTCAATGCCTTCCATATGTCTCTGTTCCATAAAGCAGTAAAACTCAAGGAACACATTTCTTAGTAAACATTCAGTAGCAGCTCTGAAAGTTCACTGTCTTGATATTAGAAGAGACGGCAAATTATGTAATTGTCTTCACAGAACCTTCAAAATCCTCAGGGATATAATGTTGCAATTTTCTTAAGTTAGATACTTATATTTATTAGTTGCCTGTTGTCATCTGTTCTGTAGTTTGGATTTGTGGTTGCTATTTAGCTTCTTCAAATGTAGCCAGTTTGGGTGGTTAATTTAAAGTAAATTAAAACTTCTCTGGCCTGAAAGGATTCCTCCTGTATTTAAGCAAATTCTATTAAGAAGGGTATAATTTTTTTATTAGTAATCCTCCATCAACTGTGGTTACTTCTATGCTTAAGAGAATTTAATGGGAAACCTACCTAAGCCTTAGAGTTTACTATCTCTTTTCTGAATAGCTGCTCTCTCTGGCCATATGGAAAATTACTATTTCTGTATGACAAATAGGAAAATACTGTAATTCTTTGCAGGATTTTAATGATCATATGCTAGTCATTTTGGAGAATAGTATTGTATGCATAGACTGCACAAATTTTTAATGGATAACCGAAGTTAAAGGACAGCATGAGAATGTTTGCTGCAGTGTAGTTCTGTGTGATGACAACTGACCAGATCAAAGGACTTGGTGTGGAGACATGTGTGACGCCTGTAGAGGACTGCTGTCATGAAATGTCTTGTAGAATCAGGGTCTGAAACTTCAGTGGCATTTAGTAAAACAACACAAAACAAAAAAAACCCCAAAACCTAAAATAAACCAGAAAGACCAGACAAACCCACTGATTGTTGTTCACGGTGTCTGTTTTTGTTGTGATGTAGACTGTACCAGGCAATACTATTTACCCAAGTGCTTATCCAAGTACATTATGTTTAGTAGTATTAAGAAAGCTCTTTGCTAAATATATCATTTGAATTTTGTACTCCACAGTACTGCAAGAGTTTATTATGCTGTGATTCAAAATACCCAAATGTTTAAAAATGTTAGTTTTATTGAAGTGGGCTTTTTTGAGTATGGCTGGGTTTTTTTTGTTTGTTTCGTGGGTTTTTGTTGTTTAAGAGTAAGTGGATTTCCTTAGAAGAAAGGTAATAGTTGGAAGCTTCAAATTAATCTTCATAATGCAGTAAAGGCCCTCATGCTTGTGAAATGCTAAGATTTGTTTTCACTGCTTGGTATTACCCTGTTTGGTTTCACACATGTCTTTAATTTTAGTTAATGTTATAGTAATATATTTTTTCAAACAAAGAATTCTACTAACCATTGCTACTATAATTCTTAAAAGTGTTGGGCTATATTCATATAAGAGTTATCCTCTGTTGGTATGAGCTAAACTCTGTATAAGAAATTAGGATAAACCAGTGTTTTCGTTTTAACTTGCAGGGAGCATGCTCAGCATAGGGCATTTGCTATAGAACTGTGAAAGAAAAACTGGGGGAATGTGCTAGCTGATTGACTTGTACTCTTGAATCAGCATATTCTTCTACTCAAGCTAAACTTGCGGAGCAAGGCTTTTACACATTAAACATTCACAAGCTTAATTTTATGCTGAAGAGGGGTTTAATTTGGGCCCAGAAAATGAATTGGGTACACTTTGTTCTACAATATTCATGAAGCCAAAAAGATGGGAAGAAGGAAAGATGCTACATTTGAAATAAATAATTTATAGAAAACTTACTGAGTTATTATAGTATTGCTTTCCAGTGATTATTTACCATTATTTTGATTGTAATGTATAGCTGATACTATGTTGTATATAATAAGACATTTCCAAACCTGAGTTGTGATCTGATGTTAAATGATATATCCAAGTCTAATTTGAATGAGTAATATTATATCTTGAAGAAACCCTCTTAGAGTCCAAAAGTGTGGAAAAAGGCTTAAGGGAATATATTATACACCTGCTTATGGCATGAACAATTTCTATGACATCAGCAAGTTAACAAGAGAGGTGTTAGAGGTGTATTGCTACTTTTTGAACTTCTGTGACAGTAGCTCTTGTTTGGGTACTGAAATCAGGTTTCCTTCTCACGTACGTTCTTGGTTGGGCTGTGCAAATGAAGTAATTTTAAAGGAGAATCAGTGCTGCTTGCACTGTCAGGAGATAATTTTGATTTAAGGCAAAACCTCAAGGCTTAAGTACATTACCTTAAAATTGCTTAAATTGCTGCTACTTCATTAGTTCTTCACTCTTTTGTAGATACTGCTTGGATTTATTGTAACTTAGAATTTTATCTTTGTAGATGTAGGCATTCAGTGAACATTTCACAGATAATTATGCTGTAAGCCAGCAGGAGTTAATGAATGATTTTATTATAAAGGCAATGTAACTCTATTTTTGGCCCAAAAGTGGTTTGTTGTGTATGGGTTTCCCCCACCCCCAAGCCAAATTTCAGTCTGTTATTAAGGGAAAGCAGTTCAGCATTTTAAGTCCTTTCTGTTTTAGACATGCAGACCTTTAGGGAACATAGTTGCCTTAAGGCCCTTTGGTCCAGGCTTATATCCATTATCAAATAACTATAATTCTAACTGCTTCTTGAGATCTTGCTCTTGGCTTGAGAATATATATGAGAGCAGAGATAAATCACTTCATCATTATGTCTTGTTTATACTTTGCTGGCAAAAAGCCAGGCATAGTGTTACAGATTTTGCCTGGAAGGAGCTGGACGGAAAGTAAAGGCGGAGCTAAATCTAGGAGGAAATTAATGCACTGAGATACTACATAACTATTTCTTTTGCCTCTCTATGTGTTAAAACCTTTTTAAGGATTTAGACTAAGAATTCCTAGTAAAATTTTGTGCTTTGGGTGTGTAGGACATGTAGATTCTGGAAAAAATAAATTGGTTCATTTTATAGGAAGATGTTGGTAAAATTGTATGAGAAGCCTAGAATATTCTCTACTTCAGGCTCCTCAAAGGCATTTGAACAGAGTGGACTATGCAATGCAATTTTTTTTAGCAATATTTGACATTATTAAGTGGTGTGTGGTTGTGTATGAAATGTATGAAAGCCGCAAAAGCAATTACAGTTGTTAATCTCTTCTGTAAGGCAGGTATATATAAATATGTGATAACTGAAAATAATGATAATTGCAAAACTTAATTTCAGTTCCTTACTAGCTTTTAGAATTGTTTTGTGAATATTTTGCATTAGTTTCCTGGGAGAGAGCTTCCTCCTCAGAGTGTCTACCTGAGGTCTTCGGAGAGAGCATCACAAAATCAGTACTGCATAGCAGTCAACATCAAGATCAAGATGTATTGTTCCCTGTTGCCTTCATGCAAACAATTGTAGAGTCAGGGTCTTAATTTTTTCATGCATCTTTCAGGTTGTGGGAGAGAAATGATTCTGCAGAGTTTTTTCTCCATTCTTGATGCATTTTAGCATTTTCAGTGTGACTTGGTTTGTAGGAAGACATTTCTTCCAGCGAGAGTGCTGTATGTGTTTGTTTCCCTGTCTGCACTGGAATTTACTTACAGTCCTTCCATCTTTCTGCAGTGTTCCAGTACTCTGCTTGCACCGTTTTCAGCCTTGAGGGTTCAGGGAACAAGAAATTGTTTGGAGAGAAAACATAGTACACTTCCACTGTGTTCAGGACTCAGCTGTACAAATGTCTGAGCAAACTGACCTAATAAGACCTGCTTTGGGTCTTCTGGGTGATAACCAGAAGCCCCTTACAACCTATATTATTCTGCAGTTCTTTAGAAGCTGAGAACGATCATGAAGGAAAGACATGGGTGTGCCTACACATGAGCCAACAAGTTGTCAAACTCAACTATGTACAATATAGCTTTAGCACAGTGCATTTCAGAGGTAGGATGACTTTGACAAATTCTGTTTTGGCTGTCCTGTGCCTAGGAACTTATGCCTTTCTTGCTCATAAGTATAAGCTTTCCTTGGTAAAGTTGGTTTGGAAAAAGAGACAAGAACATTCTAGAAGTGCAAGGGTCTGAACTTAACATGTTTATTGAAATCGAGGGTTGAACTACTTTAATTTCACATTAGGTTAGAAGAATTCCTCTGTCATACCTGAACTTGCAAATCTATAGCTGAATGGTTGTGAATAGTTTACATGCCATTATTCAGTTCTTCACGAATTGCTGAAAATATACATTACAGATACAAGTAAGAATAATAAGAAACTGGTGAGTGTGACTTTATCGGTAATAAAATGTGGAATAAATGCTTAGTTATCTATACACAGAATGTTCTTTAAAATATGACTGCTTTTTACAAATGTAACTATAACTGAGTTTATGACTGTCTAATTTAAATATCTTACTGTATGCAGGCTGATGAAATCAAAGACATTTCTCAAAAATGTAAACAGATGCAAGAGGCTTTGGAGATGAAAGATAAACAGGTAAGAGACTTGATATATGCGCCTTTTTTGGTGTTTCTTTGCTAATCTATTAATTCAGTACTAACTATAGCATATGCTGCATTCAGGCAGAATGCTGCTCAAATTCTGCAGCAAAATACAGATACGGGTTTTTTTGTCTGCTCTTCTGTTAGCAGAGAGGGAAATTTCTCTGAACAGGTAGCATGTGCTTACATACTTCACTCCCTCCAGTACACAATGAATCTTTAAAATGCCTATTAATCAAACAGGTATTGCCAAGGGACAGGTGTATGCTATATAAAATTGGTTACCTTGATGCAACAAACTTAGTAATAAACAGTATGTGTATACGTACTGTACATTACAGGCTTGCCATGAAAAGGTACAGCTTTGATAGTATAGTAATGTGCTTGACATTAAACTTGTTCTTAGATACTCTATGCGAGAGTCTAGGGTTATTGCTTCTGTTAAGTGTGTACATCTAGCATTTTTTTGAAAAGAAAACTCAGTTATACTGTGGAACAGTTACAAGACTTCATCTAAGCACTTGGTCAAGAAATATGTACATTAAATGTGTAAGGGTGCAGAGTTGATGTTGAACATTGTGTTTGTGCTGTAGGTTTTATGCAATCTTAGAATAACTTTCAAATGTGTTAAGGAAGATCTTAACCTTTAAAATTATGCTTTTGTAAAAATAAAGGAACTTAAAAATTTTATTTAAAGGCTTGATTGTATTTTTGGCTTAAATGTTCCTAAATCTTCTCAGTTCCTCAGCTCTCATAGGCCTATTGGATCTAAAACAGACTTTTACCATTTTAGTGCATTGTTACATCAGTATTTAATGCCAGTTGCACAGATATCCTAGTTGTTTGTCCTAGGGGTTGTATGCTAAACTACTTTAATGTTGGAAATACTAAAAATCCATAGATTGAAGAAATTCATCAAGCTTTGAGAGTGAAAAAAAATGAGGAAATGGACAGACAGGTGAAAATGGACAACATTCACGAGATGATAAAGGAATGGAAGAAGGAGCTCAATACGATGGAAGTCTGTGAAAATCTTCAGCTGCAAATTGATGCTATTAATAAGGAGCTGAAAAAATTACAAGACCAAAGGGCAGATATTCATAGTAGTATCAGTGATTTAAAAGCAGGGAAAATGGACCAAGAGCGGGAAAAGAAAAGTAAGTTACTTGGGTTTTTTGTTTGTTGATTTATTTTGGTTTTTTTTTTTTTTTGACTGTACAGAATCTACTTGTCCTGCTGTAGTGAAATAATTTGAGATGTTTACCTCAAGCTTCATATAGCAGTCCTCTTAGCAGTTTTAATATAAGTAGTGGAAACTGCTTTCAAAATAGAAAAAACAAGAAGATTCAAAAGTGGCAATTGAACTTAAAACTATCCTTCAAAAAATTAGTTTCCTCTTATCTCTGGGCAAGGAAGCTGCTTTGCCAGTTTAATATTTTTCTGTTATTAAATGAAGATGTATACTGTTGACAGGATACAAAAAAACAAACCTGAAGCAAAAGCAGCTTGCTTTGAAGAAGTTTTTAAAATCAGCTCTTTGGCAATATATTAGCTGCTGAGGCCGCTTTTGTCCTTTTTGGATTAATTTGATCTAACCTTCACTATAGTAAATAATTTTATACTAGCCTAGGGTTTACAATTTAGTTCTTTCTAAGAAACAAAAGTCAAAAATTATAACTTGACAGGTAGGGGGTGTTATATACTATTCCTCAGTGAGAGTAGTGTATTTGCAAGTGCCTATCTGTCTGGCACTTAACTTGTCATAGAATCCAAGAAGAAACAGGTATAGAGAGCAAGTGACCTAGAGGAGGAGACACTATATATTTTACCTTGAGAAGCATAGGAAGTATTCGATCTCTGTTGCTCCTGAATAGCAAACACTTCTGCACTCTATTGTTACACATTTTGTTTCCTGCAACCATGAAATAATACTCAGAGCTTTCATTTTGTTAGTCCCCCTACCTCTTTCTTCTTGGGGTATTTTTGGTTTTAAATACTAAGATAGAACATGTTTTGAAGAGAGATTTTTAGGACTAAATTCCTGTGGTTTTACTGCACTACCACATTTGGTCATCCTTGGAGTAAGTGTGTGAGCCGGCACAGGCAGGGTGCAGGAACAACCCACAAACCCACAGATGAAATGCAAAGAGCACATTTATTCTCATTCTCCCATGACCCCGGGGATCTCCACAGCAGCACCCGGGCAGAGGCACGCAAGCAGGGACACGGGCACCGCCGAGCTCTGTCCTTGACAGCCAGAAAGAGAAGAAAGATCTCGAACCTGCTGCTTTTGCCTGTATATATCAGGGATTTTCGCAGGTGTACTTTTCCACTGTGCACTGTCCATCTTTCCCACAGCAGAGCAGGAATTGCAAGGATGTTCAATAAGGTGCCTCTGTCTATCACTGGCCTGTGTTACCTAAATGCAGATGTTCTACCCCTCAGGCACACAGAGCTAAACAGCAGTTAGTATGATATATGTGGTTTTGGACACCCCAACTGCAAGTCACTTGAGTATGTTTACAATCGTTGCCAATATTTCATTGTATTCCCACATTACGTCTTCATTTTACTTTAGTTTTTAAGCTTTAATAATATTAGAATAATAAGCATCTTGATTGTGGGGCAAAAAACCTCTTAATTATTATAATCTCCTAAAAACCTTATTGCTGCAGTAGTATAGTCAATAAATATTGAAAAATGGTATGGGCTCTGTTTAAGAAACTGCGTTAAATTACAGGAATAATTGATCGCCTTGCACAGATTAATAATATAATGAATATAAAGGAAGAGAATCTTAAAGGGAAATTTGAAGACACACACTCTGCTCTTATGTGGCTAAGACAAAACAAAGACAAGTTTAAAAAAGGAGTTTTTGAACCCATGATGCTTGAGGTAAGAAAATTTACTTGCATATCACTATAACCAGTTAATGTTTAGTTTATTTATGCCTTGCAAGACTTCAAAAATCACTTCAAGACTTTCAAGACACATCTTGAAATGAGCTGCCGGCTACGTGCTGGGTACATTAGCATGGTGAACTACTTGTAATTTTAATTCCGTAGGCAATGTAGTAATACTCAACACTGAATAACATGAGGCGGGTCCTTCCCCATCCCTCCTCAATGAATGGTTCCGTATTAAGATGCCCATTGCAGATTTCCTCTAAGGTCCATCCAATTATTTAGACTTAAGTAATTCTTATTTGGTGATTTATAAAGCAATGGTAGCTACAATTGAATACTTCCCCTTATAGCACAACCAGCTCAGCAACAGTTACAACATGTCACTGTGATCCCTAGCTGTTTTTGTGGTTTGCTTTGCACAGCCAGCTACTTAATCTACCCCTATTTTTTGTGTTTTGGTTTGTCAGACTCTGTAATTGCTAGGAATTGTAAGGCTACATTTTCAGAGAGACTATTGATTTTCTAGTTCATTCCTCCACCATTAGCCCAGCCTCTTGCAATATATGCTCCATGTCATGCAAAGAGGATGAAGAACTCCAGTGCGCCCCTCCTTCTTCAGGACTGCAAGCTTATTTCAGTAGTGTATCACTACAATTTAAATTAGTTGAATGTTGAGTATTTGTATACCAATTCTTACGCTTTTTGCATGTGCTAGAACTGTTTAGAATTACTATTGTTTAGTTACAAAATAGCAAGTATTTCCTGTTACTACCAGAACTTCCAGTTCTTCCTGGAAGACCACACCAAGTTAACTTTACAAATGCCTTGAAAGGATGCTTTTACTTTTACTTAAAGGCCTTATTAACCTCTGTAACACCCATTAATATCTGAACTATTTTTCTTTGCTAGAATGTAAGGGAGTCTCATGTATGTATAAATTGTAGCTTTCAAATCACTAGCAAGAGTACCCAGCCTTTGGTTAACTTGAGGTTACTAAATTGTGTGTTTCTGTGTAATTTTGCATGTCACATACAGTGACATAATGTCTAATTACTAGTGAGAGTTATCAAAGAATTCCAACATTAACACTTAATTTAGATACGAAAAGCTTCATCCATCTTAAATGTGGGTTTTTAAAATATTTAAGAATTCTAAGAGAATTCAGTCAATTTGTGAATCTCTGTCTTTCAAGGGCTTCACAATTCTGTATTTGTATTTGATGTTCACTGTGTCCACATCAAAGGGATATACATATGAATAATTTTCTGGAGTGTGGCATTTTCTGTTTGATTCCTTATGTTAATTGTTTCTAAATAGTGAGATACCTTTAGTAGTACTGGAGCAGAGACACTAGACATGAGATGGTGGTGGCTGCAATTGTAAGGTTAGGGTGGAGCGGAAGGGGAGGATGTGGTATGGTGGAGGCAATAATAGCCCCAGGAATGCTGAGAAAGTATATGGATGACTGAAAACTAAACACAATGACCTGTGAATAACTGTAGGTTTCCTCCCGAGAGAATTGCTTGCAAAAAGACAGCAAATATGCCTTTAAAGACATTTAAACATTGTCTTTGTTTTCACTAAATGTATGCTTGGGTATCATGTGACTGCTCAAAATATTTTGTGTGGGGTGTTAAGTCCAATTGTATTAAATCACTTTTTCATTACCTTTCATTATCAGATCAATGTGAAAGACAGTAAATATGCTAAATATCTTGAAAATCACATCTCAAGCACTGACATGAGGGCTTTTGTTTTTGAGAGTCAAGAAGATATGGAAATGTTTCTTGTTCAGGCAAGTAGGCACCAATGTTAAAATTGCTTAAATACTGATGTAGGAGCCCTAAACTTTAGAGTCTACCAAGTAAGTCTGTATTTATTAAGTTTTGATTGGCAAGATCAGCGCGATTGCTAATACAATGTATTCAAAGGTTTTCTTCTGGATTAAGGTTTTTTCCTGGAGTAAGACTTTATTTTTTTTTTAAGCCTAGACCAACTGGAGGCATGCAGGAATATTATTTATTTTTAGAAATAACTTTTGTCTTCCTTGACAAGGCAATAATCACTGAGGAGAAAATACTGTGTACAAGAAAATGACAAGAGCAGAAAATTACAAATTTAGTACCAAGCTTTTCCAGTGCCTCCTGAGGAGGTGAGAGGGCTGCTTTTGTTAGAAGACGGTGGTCCAAGCAGCAAATCAGGCTTATTTTCTTAATGCTGCTGTTTCCTGGAGCAATAATGAGATTGTTCCCTTTGAGACCCAGACAGATGGTGCAGGAGAAAAATGCCACAAGATATGGCATTAACTGTCATAATGCTTCCCAACTACTGTCTGCAAAATAGTATGGTTAATGGCAAACTATCCTGCAATGTTTGAAGACCTATCTGCTTTTCACAGAACCTAGTCATTTTCATATATGTGAGCACCAGTGGTGATATCTGAGGTTCTGGGGGCTTGTCTTGCCTCCATGATTGTGGAATCCAGTGCAAGACTAATTTAACCAACTAAACTGTTTCATTTGCATCCTTTGTCTTTTCTGCCCTGTTAGGATCAGGCTTTTCAGAGTCTCTATGGCCAGTGGTCTGCCATTATCTGTGCAAAATGGCCATACAGCCTGAAAGGGGAGCTTCCTTATTACATCCAGCTTGGCTATTTTGATTGAGCACCTGGCTCTGCATTTCTTTGATTGCTCTTGTTTTCTCTAATGCATGGTATTTTCAGGACTTTAGCTGAGCTTGGCTTCTAGAGAACTCAGTCATGCCTGAGCCAGAATGGATTTTTGTGGGTTCCTTCAAAGATTGTCAGTTTAAAGTAATTCTGACTCTGAATCAAGAATAAATACTTGATTTTCATATGTCAATTTTTCTGCTATTTTTACTAAAATAATCTCATGTAATCTATACTTAGATGCGTGATGATCGGAAACTAAAAGTGAATGCTGTATGCACGTCTGCTGAATCATGTGCTAAACACTTACCTTCGAGACCTATTGAAGAATTACAGTATGTATCAGATTATATCAGTGGGGAATGATTTTAAATACAGTATTTTGGTGTTGTTGCTATATATGAAAATTTTCTATGCAAATCACATTTTCACCAATTCAATTCTGAATTAGCAGAACTGCTTTCTGACCCTTCAATAATTTGAGCTTGCTTACCAGCCAAATTTTATTTCTGATACATGCTTTTTTTCTTCTTTTCAGACAATATGGATTTTTCTCATATTTACGAGAGTTATTTGATGCTCCTCTACCTGTGATGAGTTATCTTTGCTCCCAGTACCATGTTCATAATGTCCCTGTGGGAACAAAGAGGACCAGAGACATGATTGAAAGGGTGAGATATCCTAAATAGCACACACACACCTGTAGTCTAGAGTTTTATTTCAGAAACTCTCTGACACGTTAATGTGGAGAAAACAAAAAAATTGCTTCAGCCTTTTCTTTGACCTTTAGAAGTAAGAGCATTATACACATTATACACAAAAATATTGCAAGACATTTTAACAAATCCAGTTAATCTAATGCAGTATTTCACTGAAAGGTAAATATATCTTTCACCTGTATACTGTTTCAAGTCACTTATATGAAGTTGTTATAATAACTTCTACTTTAAGTGCTCAAGATATCCTGGGCAAAATTTTAATCAAACAGTTAATAGTACATGACAGTGCTGACCTGTTGTGTTTAAAGCAACAATTAGAAGCTGCTTTTTTTTTTTTTAATACATTAAAACGTTCAGTTTCTGGCAAATACAGTTGTATAGCTTCAGTCAGAATTGATGTAGTAAATCATATATAAACCTTCTGGATTCTTAGAAATAGGCTGAGAGCTCCCACGAGGAGTAATCTCCCTACCTTAGTCTTTCATGGATTCTTACAAGCTCGCCATTGCTGGATTATAATGGGTAACACACATGACAGTTTTAAGCTTAAATTCTTATTCACTTCTCTGTCTATGCTGGACATCTGTTGTCTATCTTGTTTGGATTTAACTCTTTGGATTCAAAAGACTACTTTGGGCTCTCTGAGAATGAGAGTTGCTTTTTTGAGAAACTCAGGGAACAGGCTCTGCAAATAGACAACAATTCCTATTTTATTGGGATAGCTATTGCTCCTTCCTCTCTTCTGTTTCTGAGGCTCTAAGAATGAGGAAGAGGATAGTAAAAGTGGAGGGAGTCCTAGATGAAAAGCTCTTAATGTATTTTCTGAACATTTTTGCCCTTAAACGGCAATTCTTCCACCACTGTGTGTTTATCACCTGATGAAGCAGATTACATATATAATAGGTCTTTGAGTTATGTTTTTGTAAATCTGTCAGAATTATTCCCTAGATACTCAGTTGTTTCCAGGGCTCTGTAGGCAGGAAGTGAAAAATCACTGGACTAAAGGAAAAGATGAGCCACTATTCTGAATGGATTGTAAGTGGCACTTTCTCAGTTCAGTTGTGTAAAGATTTATTTTCTGTTTTTATTATTTTTGATTGAGAAATGATTGTTTGCAACATTTTTTTCTCACATGCCTGAGAAAGCATTAGTTTAAAAGAACTCTTTGATGGTCCTTTTTCCACATGTTCAGCTCTAAGATGGAAATGCCATTAACCACAGTCTGAGCTGTAAAGCAACATAAAATGTTTTCAGTGTCCAGGAACCAAATCTTCAGAATATTGCTAGTGCTGTGTATATAAACTGAAAAAATTTTCAGTCAAATTTCCATTGTCCTATGGAGGCTTTTTGCTGTTACTGGTTTATGGTGCACTTTATATCCTTTTGAAGTACTGTACTACCTTGTGTTATGGTAAATCTTTGGTCATTTATAATATCCTTTTGGACATTAATAATTTAAAAACTAAGAAATGTAGTATTTTTATACCTTTTTTGCTCTTCCTCTGCAGACACATCTGCTTCACTGAAGTTCATGCTTTACAGCTCACCTTTATGGTTCCATCTGTTAATTTCTTAAGTAAATTTATTTCTTTGATACACAGGCTACATTTGCATGTTACACATCTACAGGTACAATGCTTGTTCATGATGCAGTACAAATATTAACATGTTTTTCCAGTATGTATATGTGATATCAGAATAATCAGAACATGATTAATTTGTTATGGTAACATACTCTGACAGTATCTTAACAGTTCTTTGCTGACTGATCTGAATTACAAGTATAACGATGCATTAAACTTAGCATCATCTGTTTGCAAAGGCTTGTTAACAAGTATAAGATTAAGTTCTTTACTGTGGATTTTACCTAGTTTATCCCTTATTCTGGACAGCATTGCCTTAATTAACACTTCCGTCAGATTAATATTTTTGTGTGGTTTTTAGGTGATACAAGAAACCAAATTTAATCAAATATACACAGCAGAAGAAAAATACACAGTTAAAGTATCAGCTTATACAAACCTAACCCTCTCTATTAACACATACCTGAGGGAGGCACAGTTTCTCAATATTTCAGTGGATATAGATGAAAGAAGACAGTTGGAAAACCAGCAACAGGTAGGAATTTATTTCTATGCTGTAAATGATGTGAAGTACTACTCACTATATTGTGCAATAAGCATAGCTTACTTGCATGTATTAATGTTTGCAGCAAGAATGCTAATGATGTGTGTTCTTTTATTTCAGGCCATCAATGACAAGTTAAACTCATTGGACAAGCATTTGAGTACATTATTTGAGAGACAGAAACATCTGGAAGGCAGAGACAATGAGCTGAGGCATCAGAAGAAAGAGCTCTTAGAGAGACCAAAAAGGAGGGCACAGTTGGAATCAAAAATTCATGTGAAGTATGATAGGTAGGAAACAAGCCATATTATCTATGAAACATGAACAATTTTAATCACAAAGGTATTCTGGCTTCCTCTTACTGCAGTGTGCTTTTACCCTTACAAGGTAACCAGTAGTTGAGCATCAGATACAGGTGATAAGACAAGGTGTTTAGAAATGGAGATTAAGACAGTATTTGAGAAACCATGTAAAAATGTTCCAAATGGTTTCTGGTAATAAAATCATAGGATTCCAGTGAGAGGTATCTGAGTAAATGAGTGCAATGATTCCTGTAGTCTTCTGTCTTTGTAGCACATTTCTAAATAATACTGTAACATACATAAATGGTAGTAAGCAGGCATGTCAGGAATTAAGCTGGACCCCAATTGTCCACAGTATTTGTCTTGATGTATTTTCTGTTTTTGTGGGCCTCTGCAATTGGTTCTTCTGTTACTGCTTTATCATATGGGAGAACCTGGAAGACATGATTCAATAGGTATTTCACGTAAGCTCACACTCCCAGAAAGCTTACCCTGAGTGTACCCTTGTACCCTCAAATACTCCTATATGTTCTTATGCCACAGTACTTCTCATTTTCTGAAAGTTAGTGCTGGTGCTTGTGTGCATAGCACTTGCATTACTTGTGGTGTGTGAAGTAGAAAAGTGGGTGTTGAGAAACGACGGGGAAAAAATAAAAATAAAATAGGGCTGCAAGGATATTAGAGGGACAAGAATCAACTGCTGTAGTCACAAGTGCCCGAGTTGCTGAGAAAAGAAGCGTCTTTAAACAGTGTGAATGTGAGCTTAGCCTCAAATTCAAGTATTGCTCTTGGGTTTCTTATTAGGGATACATGTATTGTAATGGTGTTTTACTAGAATACAGAATGTTGTTTGAAGGCAGGAGGTAGACCCTATACCTAAGCAAATATTGATTAAATCCTTTCCTTTGAAAAAATACTACACTATTTTAATTTTGAATAGGGGTAAGAATCCTGACACAGTTATAGACAAGGCTGGTACAAATTTTCTTGTATAATGTGGATGTCTTTCTGTAGTGATATAAATTACTTAAATCTTTGCAGTGAGTATACCTGTTTTCAAATATTCATGTTTCTAACTGATAATTATATCTTAAGAAAGCTGGATATAATTTTGAAAATAATATACAATGACAGAATCACTTAGGTTGGAAGGGACCTCATCTACTCTGTAGTCCAGCCGTGTTCTCAAAGCAAGGTCAACACTGAATTCAGACCACGTTCTCAGGGCTATATCCCACTGCATCTTGAAAGGCTCCATAGAGGTTGCATGACCTGTTTGGACATCCTGTTCCACTGCTTTACTGTCCTTATGTAGAAAATTTCTGCTGCCATTCAGTCTGGATCTTTCTTGTTTCACCTTATATCCACTGCCTGTCATCATACTCTGCGCCTCTTATAAGAGCCTGCTTCCATCCTGTTAGTGGCTTCTTTGGAAGGATAGTAGGGGGCGTTATTTTTAGGAGCCCAAAAGCTGTCTCTTGTCCAAAGTGAACAAGCTGAGCACCATTGTGCCTTTTCAGGGCCTGCGTTGTAGCCTCTAACCATCTTGGTTGCTTTCCAAGTTTGTTGCTGTTTGTAGCTGTTTGGAGCAGGGGTGAAAATGGGTGCAGTGCTGAACAGAGGAAAAATCACTCTCTTCCTGCCTGAGCTTCCGTTCATATAGCCAAGGATGCTGAGGACCTTGTTGCTGATAGAGCTCACTGCTGGCTTACGCTCATCTCATTGTCCACCAAAACCTGAAGTCCTTCCCTGCAGAGCTTCTCCACAGTCAGTCTGCCCTGAGCCTGTATCACTGCCAGACCCACTTTCTTCTAGGGGCAGGACTCAGCATTTGACCTTGCTCAATCTCTTGAGCTTCCTGTTGACCCCTTCCTCCAGCCTCAGCAGACCCCTCTGAAGGGCCAGGCCTATTGCTCCCCACAGTTTAGTGTTGCCTGAAAGCGTGACAAGAGTGCCCTCTGCCAGTTCCTCTGTGTCACTGGCAGGACAGGACAGGTCCCAGGATTTAATCCTGTGGTACCTCACCTGATACTGGTCTTCAGGCAGAATACAACAGACTAACCATGACCCTCCCAGCCTGACTATCCAACTACTCTTTTTTTTTTTCTATCTCATCTTCCATCCACTCAGACTGTAGTCTTCCAACTTGAGTACAACACTATTGTGGGAGACAGCATTCAGAAAATTAGGGGAAGGGGTCTGGATTCAGCAGCCTGAGAGGAAGGTGGGGCTGATGCAGCTTAATGCTCCCAGGTGGAACTAAGAGTGAGGCTGAGCCTGTTTTCCCAGCAGGCACATTCACACAGAGCACATCTAAACAGCATATCTCTACATATTTACACACAGCCAGCCACACGGCATGGATGGACATACAGGGCAGTGGGGCACCAGTGGCTTCATCATTTTCCTCCTGCTTTGAGCATGAGGGGGCTCCCCTAGTAAGACTCCTGGGCAGGCATATGCACCATGGGGATCCCATCAGCAGCTGGGTCCAGACATTTTTGAGTCTGCACAGCAGCTGCCCTTGGACCTCAGACTCCCCAGTTACTTTTACTTGGACATGCAAACCTCTGGGGCTGCAGCTCTGTTCCTGTTGCCTGGACAGGCTTCCTCACTCACCCATGTGCACACACATGCAGAACTGGCTGGGACTCCCTGGTTTCCCAGTAGCCGACTGTGGTCTTAACCTCAGAGACACAGAGGCATACAACTGTGCAGAGGTAGCTGTAACTCCCCTAGTCCATAATAGCAAGTACTCCTGTCATCTTACCCTTAAATGCATACATATGCCAGCTGGTCTCGCCCCTAGAGACAGCAGACCTAATCATCTCTGGCAGCCAGTCTGGACTGCCCTGGTCTTTCCAATAGCCTTTTCTTCCTGTGGTCTCATCTTTAGTGACACACCTACCTCCTTGGCTCCCATGCAACTTTACCTACTTGCCAGGTAGTCTGGCTTAGTCTTTGCTAGCAATCAAACACTTGCACATCTGCACTTGTACCAGGTGCTGGCATCATTGATGCATGGGCCTCTGACCTGTGGTCCCACTCCCCTGGCTGTCACGTAAGTCTGTCTCGCCAGTTGCTGGCACAACAGACAAACTGGCTCTCTCCTCTGACTTGTGAGCTGAATACAGTTGCTTGCACTTAGGCTCCCATACACACATGAATGCTGAATAGAGAGTCCCTCACCCAGGAAAAGAGTGAAAAACTAAATAAGAAAAGGACGTACCAATTAGGCATGGCTGGACGAGCATATTGACCAGCCACCTATTTATGTGTAATCATCTCTTTTAACCCCATATGCCTCTGTTTTCTCATACTTGTTCCATTCCAAGTCATCTAGATCTCTCCTTTTTCCCACATTTGGTTTCTCCCCTGCATACCCAATTGCCAAATGCTTTTCTGCTGCATCTCATAATGCCTCCTATACCACTCACTTGAGATTGCTGTGGTGTTGATTTATCTCGCTGGGTTTCTTACCTGGACACTGGTGCTAAGGCTGTCCTGGAACACGGTGTCCCTTTATCAGAGTCCTTAATTTGGGTTCCTGCCCGCTAGGGTGTTCCTGTCCTCCTCTGAGCTTGTGGAGATAGGCATTTTATGGGCTAGCAGCTTCTGCGAAGGGCCTGAGAGTAGCCAGGGTAGGGTGTTATATGAGCTTCCTCCACCTTTTTGGGTATGTGAGCTTTTATCAGATAACCTAACAAGAAACCTTGCTAAAAGTGAGGTAAATGGCAATCACTTGATCACCTGTCATCCAGTTGTTTTACAGTTGGATTCATCATGTATGATGTACCCTTGGTAGGTGCTTGGTGATTCTTCCTGATCACCTTCTCCGTTATGCCCCTAGAATTGTTTTCTGAGGGCACTTGCTCCACAATTTTCCCAGGGATGAAAATAAGAATGATTTCTTTGTAGTTTTCTGGATCATCTTCTTGCCCTGTTTGGCCGTTTTTGAAGATCTCCAGATGCTTTGCAACTCACTAAGCATCATGACCATTTCATATGAAGTTCTTCACAATTTTGTGGTTTTGAGGTTTAAAATGAGTGAAGATTCTAGTTTTCTGCAGTAAGTTAAGGACACAGGGTTTTTTGCTAGTGTGTATATAGCAAGAATTACACAAACCTCCTGAACTCTCCAGACTTGTATTGTTGCAAGGAGCTAGCAGCAGAAGAAAAATGTCATCCTTATGCTGCTGTTGTTTCGTTTATTTGTTATTGGTGTTTTTTTGTTTGTTTTTTTTTTAAATCTGAAACTTAGAGAAGTAAAGAAGAGTATGGTGGTTGAGTTTTGCCCTTAGTAGCCAAAATCAGAGTTTCTTTAATTATGGATTTTATGTCTTTTGAACTTCTTAGGTTTAAAGTGCACAGATTGGGAATGCCTCTAATGTGTTTGGAATGTTTAGGTATACAAATTCTTGTTCTTCCTAACCACTGGTTCATCACCAAGATGAAAAAGTTTTGTACAATTTATTTTTAATCAGGATTAATCAAATATTGATTCCTCCCATAGTTTAAGACAGCTGGAACAAGATGCTATTGACCTAGAGAAGGAATCTCAACTGGCAGGTGTAAAGATCAAAGAAATAAACATACAAAAAGCAAGACTTGTAACTGAATTAATGCAGCTCATAAAGGTATGTATTTTTAATGTGGTAAGTGTTCTACTATTGTGAAAAGTCCAATTCTTGTAACTTAAGGAGGAGGTGTGCAACATTTGGATATGTTACAGTAAATGTTTACGAGCCAACTTGCTTCAAGATAAACATCTTTTGAAGCTTTTATGAACTTGGACTTGTTCATATGTCATTGATTCAATGTGTAGATCATTTGCTTGCATTGATTTAGACTCAGTCACTGAAGTCTCACATGGTCTGATTGAGGAGCGAACTAGGAATGAACTATAACTATTTCATCATGTACATTTTCAGAATACTGCATAATTCTATGAACTGTTCTTTACAGTGTAGTTCATCATCTCCTTGGGTTTGTTTTTATTGAAAAAAACAGTAGTCATTAATCATGTGAAAAACTGACCTGAAACTGTAAGGATCCATGATTGTGGAAGAGGGCTAGCATGGGAGAAGTACCCAAGTCTCAGGCTGCAAAGTCATGAAGTATTCTTTAACTCAAAAAAAAACCCCCAAACAGTTAATTGTTGTTTTAGCTTAGCCTGTAAGCCCTAATAATGGGAGCTGCCACAGAATGAATTTTCTTAGATTTTTTTTTTTTTTAATGTCTAAGGAACAAGAAACAGTTACTTCTAGTTCCAAGGAAATCTGCTTGTGCTTTTGCACTCAGCAAGAAATGGTGCCATTCTTGCAACCACTTTGAGTGTATATGTTGTTCCTTTGCTATGCTTTCCTAACAGTGAGATGTGTTCTTGCTTGCCCCTGAAAAGAGTTGAGTGTTACCTTTGCAGTGAGGCTGATTTCAATACACATTGGTTGCAGATATTTCTATAATAAAATGAAAAAAAAAAAATATTACAAATGGGTCGACTGTTTCTGTTTGTTGATATGCACGGACTGCAAAAATTAGAGTGTTTCAGAGGTCACCTTTGGGTCAGCTAGCCAAGGCAATTTTGAAAATACCAAAGAATGGTAGAAGACCCCTGCCATGTTAAAAAGATTGCTTAGGCTGTAGATTACTTTACAGAACTTACAGACTTTGTGGCAGGTAATAACAATATTGAAAAGTAACTCTCTTCAAAACTTGTGCAAATCCTCTGTATTTAAAACAGGAGTTTCTAGAATATGCTTTTGATTTTTGTATTTGATGCCCATTTCCCAGTAGGTAAACTGTCCAAGTATGTTGCTCTTGTAAAGTACAGCTGAAGTTTTTTATTGACTGCTTCATGACCTGATTGAAGGAGTGTCTTTAATCTTTTTCACCCAATATTGCAGAATGGATTTGTCACATACTGTGTATTTGTCAGTGTACCAGGGATGTAGGGGAGGATGGGTGGTATTTGCCTGAAAAGTTACTGATTACAAAGGGGATTTATTTCAGTTGTGTATCAGCTTAATTTTCACACTTCATGTAGGAAATATATGCTAGTACATACTGAAGAGAAGAAAATGGTCTGATACAGGAAAGAAGTTTCATTATATGTTTTATAAAAATTGTTGAAATCTATACATTTCTGGTCGTCCTCGAACTAAACTTCATGAATGCTTCCAAGTTTATGGGAGTCTTTGTACTTTCTTCTGTAGGTTTTGTAGTTATACTAGCTGTAGTCTATTAAAGTGATAGAAACTTTGGTAGTTATGTTTCAGGCACACTCCCTTCTGCCACAGGATATTTAAAACATGAATGAGGTTTTTATGTGTTTGCATACTTCTTTAAGAGTTCTGGGGCTTGTGTGGAACAGTTAACTAGAATGATAGGCTGCATTTGAATTTACACAGATACACAAGGCAGAGTGTACCTGGCACTTAATAATACACATCAGTGCTTTACAATCAGTTGACAGAAACAGCCTTGTTCCACTGTTTCATATTCTGGCACTGCTTTTGCATGTAGTTCTCTTTGTGCTGTTGTCTTTGAATAATCTTGACTTTTTCCATTTTTCATCTCTTTTTGTCCAGTTTGCTTCCCTGATAATTGTATTTGAACTATTTAGGTGGATTGGAAACAAATAAACTTATTCCTATGTCCAAGTATGTGTTGAAATGACAACTGATAAAGATCTCAGACCTTGGATCACTATTGTGGTCAGAAGCTAACACTTTCAAAACTTCATCCTGCAGGTCCCCTAGGTTTACAGTTGGAACCTGGATTCTTTTGTAGTTATATGACAATCGTAAAATAAAATAAAAAAAATGTTAAACCAGTATTCTCAATGCCCTGTAATTCAAGGTTTGAAGCTACCCTTCACACAGTCAAGAATATATTGTTCATTTTGAAGCCTCTGGACCATTTCTGAGGCTGACTTGTTTAAAGAATCAACCATTTTAATGTCCAAGTTGCCAAACCAGGTTCTGGGAATCACTAAAGTGTGTTTTGAAACTTCTAAAATAGAGCCTCCTTCTGTTGTCATACATTGTTTCGGTTAAGACCCTTACAAGTCATTGTACATTCAGCTAGTCATCTTGCATTGTCAGTGAGAGGGGCATATATTTTATGTTTATTTTTTGACCTTTTTCCATCTCTATGTATGACTTATGAAGTCCACCAAAATCTACCTGTTTGATTCTCATTCTGAGAAAGAATTGAGATGGTTTTGTCTTTTCTCATATTTCACGTGTGAGTATATGGTGTAGGGAAAGAGAATGTGCTTTTTTTGGTGTAAAATGATTTGATTGCAAGTGATAAATGTATGCTTACAGATTAAAAATACATGGGAACTACACATCTTGAAGAGCTTGGGTTGCCAACAGGTCAACTTTCTTTTTCATTGAATTTGACAGCCAGCAGTGTTGAAGAGCTGAACACAGTATGAGATTGTATGCTATGACTAAAAAATTTGATAGTTTCCAAAGCCTGATAGTGATCGTGTCTGTTTTGAGTCTCTTGTGGAAAAAAATAACGTTCTCTGGTTTTCCTATGTAGAATTGCGTATCACTGAACATCCTCAAAATGGATTTGGTTCTTCAGAGCACTACAGACATTTCTGAGAAGAACAGACTAGAATCAGAATATAAAGGAGCAACTTTACAGCTAAGAGCTGCAGAGGTAACCATTTTTATGAATACTGGGATATCTACAATGAAAACATGTTCTGTGGAAGCCTTCGTGGTGTAGAAAAGTATGCTTCTGTGTCTTTGTTTAGAAATGGTTATTAGTACTGCTAAATATTCAGCCTTGATTTCTGTAGTTTGACTTCAGCCTTTTAATTTAAAGTTGAGTAGGAGCTTTACCTTCCTCAATTAAGACACCTAAGCTTCTGTGAAAATGTGCTGAACAGTCATCATGTCCTGGATCTTTTTATTATAGTGTATAGTGTGTGTAAAAAGGCTAGCTGTTAGTGAGAAGTATTATTTTTCTTCTGTCATAGACAAGTAGCTCTGAACCACATGGGAGATGCAAGCTCAAGATGAACCTGAAAGTACTGTATCAGGGTGCAATAGAGCTGCTTTACCTTTCTTTCATAGCATATTTTCTCCTGCGGTAAATAAATGCCTTTTTTGGAGGAAAGAAAGGAGGATAAACAGTTGTTATATTGATCATATTAGGAAGCTATGCTGTGTTTGAGTAAAAAGACAGACCCTGAGGAATTATTTCCACAGACAAGTACTCTTCTAAGAGCAGAAGATGCTGTGATCATGGATTGGTGCATAGAGGTCAATTTTTGTGTTTGTGTAGTAGTACAATCTTTCAGTGTACTGGAGGATAAACTGTCAAAGTACAGGATGGTAAGTTTTTTCCTTAGCTTCTAAGAGTCATGTTAACTATAGCCTGATAATTCAATTTGACAAAAAAAAAAAAAAATTGCTGTTAAATTGGAAAGCAGTTCAGAAGGTAAGTGATAATTATTTTGGATGGATATGCACTTCCAAAAAGAATGATCTTGGCATGTATTTAGAAAACCACTTGAGGTTATAGGTATCATCACTTGCAGGAAAGTTAAGAGGAAGAGGAATTCCTAAAAGGAGCAAAAAGTAACTTGAAGACAGAGACAAGTCCAGCCTGTTAATTGGAAAATCGCTGTTGCATCAGGTCTCTCATGTGGTGCAGCTGTTATTTGGACTTTATCAAAATTCAGTGTAAATCACTTCATTGCTGGAGTTCAGTGAGGATTAAGATGTATTACAAATGTATTACAAAGCTCTGAACCTCATGTGAGTAGTGTGTATCGTCACTGGGAAACTGATTTAATGTTTTTAATTCTCTCTGTCCCTGTCTTCTCCATCATTTAGACAGTAGCTTGGGCTGATGCATACATAGATGTCTAGTCAGATCAGTAGACAGGACTGGTAAGGTAAATGTTCTGATAATTCTTGGTTAAACAGAAATTGCCTCCTTCCCTAGTGAAGAGGTGTTTGAGTCAGTTGAGGTCCCATTAACTGTTAGTGCGTTACATTTAACCACATAACTAGAGGAAATCATATGAGAGCTTATATTTTGGATGGTTGGTTCTAGGAACATTAAAACAGAAAAAAAAAAAACCTGGAAGTAATCCCAGTGATTACAATTTTGAGAAGTTTAACTTTTGAGGAAAACTATTCTGAGTATTCAAGTGCATCTTGAGTTTTCATGTACATGGAAGTCCAAAGCCACACTTCCCCATGTGCTGCAGTCTTTGAATTAAGCCTTTAGTCCCTTTTCATAGAAGTTCTTTTTCCTGTATTACCTTGTGAATATGATGTATGTTGTACACTCTGGTTTATTTCTTATTTTCTGCCTGAAGAGATGCACTTTCATGGGGAAAACTCAGTATTTCTTAGTTTATCTCAAATTAAGTGTTATTTGAAATAGTACGTTTAAATTGGCCCTTCTCCCCAACTTCTTGGTGGCTTTGGCTGTGATAAATTTCTTTTCTACAACAGTACTGTGTTAAGGTAGTCTTGCTCCAAAACTGCCCATGAGGATTCAATCACAACACTCTGAGGAAGTCATGCAAACACTTCCTGCATGTTCTTATAAAATAAATAAAACCTGCAAAAAGAAGGAAGCCAAACATAAATAGAAATAGGTATGTTGTACAAAAGCTGTGTAATGAACTAAATTGGAGCCTAAACTTTACAATTACAGGGCCATTAATTCCCTTTTTAATGAATCACCAGAAAATTTTGTAGGTTGTGTGATGATCCTGATGCATTCATTGAAATTGGATTGGTGGGTATCTGCCAAAGAAGCTGTGAAACTTTGTTAATACTTAACACTTATTCATGGTGTTTTCTTCCCAAGCAGTCATGAGTCTGTGTAATACCTGAGAAAATATCTGATTAAGATTTGAAGTAAACACAAATCCCACTTAGTACATCTAAAAGAAGATCACATATATACCTTTTGTGAGGTCTTGGCACTGGGATATTGTGGAGAGAGCAGCATGTTTGTTGCTTTGTGGTGGGGTTTTTTTAACCACTTGGGTGGAAAGGCCAAAAAAGTACATGCTTTCAAACAAGTCAAGTTAGAAGCAACAGATTTCTGGGATTTGTATTTTCTCATTGCAGTTCAAGTGAGAACCTTAGTGTTATTCTAACAGCCTCTTGTACTTAATTTATTTAATGAGCCTAGGAAGCAAATCTGTGTTTGTGACCCATACTGAACATTAGGGAGGATTGTTAGCCCCATCTGCTCATTAGATAATTGACATAGTTGCCTGCATGTTTATGATGGTTGTTTGAAAGAGTCTTGCTAATTGTCCTGCTTTGATGGCTTGTTAATTTTCAGGTTAATTTGATGTAAATTTGTTTAAATATTTGGTATTAATACTAAGTACGTACATTGCAACATTTGCTCCTTAAGCCAAGTTTTAAGAAAATGCAGATTCTGTACTTCTATGTACAAACTCCCAAACTTCAAATAATTAAATGTCACCAAGCCTGCGTTCAAACACAAATTCATTAGAAAGCATTGGCTACTGGTAACTATATTTCCTCTAGCCAGCTTCTTAATTTTGCACAAAACCGGTTGCAGTACTGATGAGCACAACAGCATACAAATTGCTTGTGCACACAGAATATAATTGGTTTCTGCTGTTCAGTAGCTGCCTTTCAAGAAGCTGTAATTGCAGCCCTGCACTAGCGCAGAACTCTCCTGAAGTACCTGGATGAAGCTCTTTCCTGGCTGGTTCTTACGCTGTTGGCTGAATCAAATGTAAAGCTCTGTCTAGGCTATCATTTTTCATGGTGGTGTCTCTGTTCAAAATTATAATTCTTTCTAATTAGAGCTAACTTTTTTATCTAGATGGCTTATTGAGGCACTTTCAGGAAATCAATAGGAACCTTAATGTTACCTGAACTTTTGAATATATAGGAGGGAGGAGGAATCAAAACTTGTCTATTTTTATTTATTTATATTTATCTAACTTTTATTTAGCCTGTGCCCATGACAATAAACTGACAAAGCTGAATGAAAAATAGGACTTACCGTGTTGAACTGCCAGTGCATTTATTCTAGTACGTGCTTTATAACCACAACAAATGTCTATTGCTTCCCAATCTCCCTGTTGAACGCTGAGGTTTTCCTCTGCCCAAACATGTATTTTCCTTTTCACACCCTGAGGAATTTTACTTGCCTTAAGCTTGGATCAGGCATATTTGATGGTGAATCTATCTCAGCTTTTCAGTGCCTAGAGATCAGCTTGAAATCTTGTTTCATGCAGCTCTGCAGGGTTTCAAGTGGGAACTTCATGTACAATTCAGAGCTGAGTTTCCCCACTTCAGATGATTCAGAATTGGCTTTGGCTCTGGAAATGGTCAGACACATATGTATAAAATTGATGTTTCTTGTATAAAAAAGTATGGGTTGTGTTGCCTTTCACTGGATCCTTGGCCTTCGTTATGAGGTCAAACACATTTTAGATTAAGCCAATTGGCTTTTAAATTTCTGGGGTCCAAAATACAGTCCAGTTTTAATTTAGAACTTTTAAAAATGTTCCTAACAATTGTTTATTGAATGTATTACAGGGAATATGCAGATATATAATGTAATATAAGTGCTGTAGTATAGTTCTATTTGTGCTAATTTAGACTACCATAAGGTCTTGGCTGTAACCAAAAGGAGGACCATCCTCCAACTACTGCTGTTTTATTTGTATAGCTGTAATGTCAATCCTTCTTGCCCCCCTCCATGTGACAATTCCCTCCTTCTCTACGAGAGACTTGATGAGGTGGAGGAGGGGAAAAAAAAATCTAAAACCCCCTTTTTTTTCTTTAACCTTTCTGAAAACATCAACACTGTGTAGGAAGATATCATTACAGTGTGTTTATGAAGATTGTGAAATGCTTACCTCTAATGCAAAATCTATTTCCTAGTGCTTAGTGGAGGGAAGGAAAACCAGGATTTTTTTTTAGTTGATATACTATAGAGAACAGCAGCCCTGATTCTTGAGTGAGTGTGAGAACGCCACTGATGATCAATCATGGTTGTATCTGTTACTAGTGCTTCTGTGGTATTTAGTAAATAAAGATTCGTTAAATTGCCAGAAAGTAATGTGAGCTGCTATCACTGTCTGTGTCCTGCATTTTAAAAACGTGGAATAAACATTTATCTAACTGTGTAATTGCCAAATGAGCCTTTCAGAAATTTTTGCCACTGGAGGGCTCCCATATTTAACTGAAGTGCACAACAATAAAAACTGGGAATATAAAGCTTTCCAGTAGGAACTTAACTGAACTTTCCAAAGGTTCAGAAGAAAGTTCTGAATCAAAATATTGGGCGTATGGATTTTGAGTTAGAATTGTGTGCCTCTGAGAAAAAATAAAAACACTTTATTCCCGTGGTGTAGCTGTATGTTAAAAAGATGAATTACATGTGTAATTGCCAAGTAAATGTTTAGTAAAATAACTTGGAGTTAAGAGCTTCAGTATTTTGGTATGTACTCCTTTTCACTTCTAAGTGGTTGGCAGCTCCCAGCAATGTGCAGTTGGGTGCTCACCCAAACTGGGAGACAGCAGCAAGCAGTTCCTCCCAAGCACTGCCAGCTCAGCATTTGGAAGCAGCAGGCCTGCAGTAGGGACCACATGTATAGAGAGAAGTGACTGAGATTTCTTGGGGCAGAGGAGAACAGACACTTAAGGCTCTACAAGTTTTTTTGCTGAATACTGCTTATTTGAGATAATCTAGCTTACTGTTTCTTGAAAGTGTCATATTTTATGTATTGTATTTCAACTACTGTTGTAATGTTACATTATAAAAGTCATAGGGCTGGGTTGGCTGCTTACCTGTAGTGGGTTCCAAAGAGTTTAGTCTTGAGACCACTGTTCAAAACCAGAAACTGTACCTGCTTTTGACTTACTTTTCAGCACTAGTTTAAAAATTATGTGTGTTTCCATTTTGTATTATGCTGGCTGTATTACAGAGGTGGAATATGAAGCAGCAAAGAAAGTACTTCTGATTGTGTAATTATGATGTTTAGTCTGTAGAATTTCAGCTAAAATACCATCCAATGTACATCACGTCTACCATGTTATGCCAATCAGATAAATACAGGTAAATAGGAACTAGTGAAAAATAAGGCGCTTAGTAGTTGCGTTTTGGCTTATAGGAGGTTTCCTGTAAAGTAGCCTATTTTGAGACATAAATTAAAACTACATGCACACTTATCTAGTTGACAGAAAATAAATTTAGCTGTATTAAAAGAACATGCTTTTGATCGGTTTACCTTGGCATCTGTTGACTTCAAGCAGAGAGGCAAAATGAGTTCTATGTGTTGAAACAAAGATTTTTCAATCTTTAAGCAGTTTGATTTTACCTACATTCTCTGATTTAGATGTTGTTTGTTGCCAGTATGCTAGTGTCACCTCTAGAAATCTATAATAAAGTAAATAAAATATGTGTTTTAATATATTTTTCTAACAGGAAAAATTTAATGAACTGGATGCTAGGAAGCACGCTCTTGCAGAAAACTGCAAGGAATTGCTGAAAAAAGCTCGGCAGATCTGCAAACTGAGTCCAGATCAACATCTTCCTATAGAATTTCAAACTGTATGTACAAAACCAAATCTCCACATATCTCTTAAATTTGGGATGATGTACACCCTTCTAACTTCTCCAGAATATATTATGTATTTTATATTTGAAGGCTACCAGTAAGGGATCATGTGTACTTCTGTTAGTGTTGACTCATATATTGTCACCTTTAAATAGTGCTGGGATATCCTCTATCACTTTGTTCTTTGCACAGGGGAGAGAAAATTTGATCTGAAATTTCAATTAAAATCCATAGTCTTGTGTTCATAGAAATAATTAGAGGCTGTATTTTCTAGCTTTTTGCTCTAATGGAGCAACACAAAAGAACTGAAATCTGGGCCCCCCTACTTACCTGGAGGTCTTCCCAGCTTCTAGAAATATTTGCATGGCTTAACTAGCACAGCCCCTGGCTTATACCAAGTCTATGAGCATGTGTACCTGCACAGGGTAGGCAACTAAGGAGCAATTAATTGTGTATCTTTGTTATGTAGTAGCACTTCTAACCTTTTTCTCTGTCTAGAATAGTTTGTAAGGGAATTTTGCTGTGTTGAATTTTGAATATCAGACATCCTGATTAAAAGTAATAGAGTAATTTATGGCTTATTCGATATTTTTTTTAGAGAACTTGAGTCCTTCATTAGCATTGCCGTGTAACATACGCATTCTTTCCCTTGTAGGCTTTTCAGTCTCTTCCTGCCACGTTGGAGGAAATTGATGCTTATCTGAATGAAGAGAAAACCAGGGCCTCCTGCTTCGCAGGCCTGAGTGTTTCGGTATGTTCACTGCTTTCCCTGTGCCCTCCCTTCTCCCTCCACCCGTACTGTACTTGCTTCCTACTCTGTGCTAGATCTCTTGGTATAATAAGCTAGACAGCAGGAACAATGTGCTGTAAATGCCAGATTCTGCATCTATTAGAATTTTAAGTAGATTCTTCCAAAAGAACAGTGCCTTCTGTGCCTTTAAAAACAACAAAAAAAAAAAAGTTGCAGTAACCTGAAATAAGAAATGCTTTACAGTTGCTTTGCTTTAAAGCTAGAAATGTATCTTGTTAGGTGTGCTGTTTAATAACATATATAACTGTTTGAACAGAATCGGTCCAGTGTGATACTTTTACAGTCAAGGTTAGAATTGGCAAACATTTTGCTGACTGCTGTTTTTTTATTCTGGCAGGTTGAAGAATACAATAAACAGACACAAGAAATACAGCAGTTGACAGAATACCTAGAGGAAAAGAAAAATGAATTGGATAATTACAGGCAAAATATTTCAGAGGTAATAGCTGAAATTACCACTTTTATATCAGTATGTCTTTATTAGAATAGAATGTATGTAAAGAAATAAAAGGTAACATTCCAAGTTGTCTTAAGTGTAAACTGATATGTTTAGCTTCTCTAATTACGATCTTTTTCAATTTAAATGCTATCTCTAAAGGAAAACTCAGTTATTAAAAGTGGTTTTACATGGATATGTCTACTTCTAGGTCAAAGAAAGGTGGCTAAACCCCTTGAAAAAGCTGGTTGAGCAAATTAATGTGAAGTTCAGTAACTTCTTTCATTCTATGCAATGTGTTGGTGAAGTTGATCTTCATGTGGAAAATGAGGTACGATTTATTTTTCATATGGAAGAGGAACATGTTTGCATGCATCATCTATTGCTTATGTATTCCTAGAGAAAAAATAACAAGTTGTCATTTAGATTGTAAGAAAGATGTTCTTTTTAAAAAAAAAGAACTACTGATGAACACACTTTTTTTGTGCTAGAACTGACATCAGTCTGATGAAAGGAAAATGAGTCTTTGTCCAAATGCATAGCACTTCAACTCACCGACTTTTGGAAGCTTCTTACAGCTTACAGGGCTTGGCTAGAACCATTGTATTTACTTTAGCTGTAACTCAGATTTATTAAGTTAGTGATTTAACTCTACATTTTTAGCTGATTTGTGCTATTCTGTTATTTAGTGGCTAAATCTGCTATTATTAAGTGTTGTATTGATTTGGTTCTACATGTAGTTTCTACTCAAGTCTGCTGGCACTTTGTTTTGGAAGTAGCAATCACTTGGCCCAGCCTGTTATACCCTCAGTAACATTTATAGGCAGCGTTAACCTCTGATGAAGAGTTTAAAGCATGAGTAGTACCTTGGGGAGAAATACTCAGTGCAGTGGGCTGAAAAGAAAATAGGTATTTTGTTTTAAACTGATCCCTGTAATGATGATTTTAAGACTCTCATATGTAATGTATAGACTTCACAATAGTGAAAGCTGACACTTAAACATTTTTTTTTTCTGTTGTAAACTATTCATGCAGCTTTTCTTAAAATATTCAAAGTGGTAGTTATTGGGAGCAGAATAGTGACTGAAAAGGCTCTTTACGTGAATTGCATAAAAATGTTTACATAGAAACTAATATTAAGAAACAGTAGGACTTTAAAGCATATACTTTTCAGTTCTTTTGATAGTTACCTACAGAGTCAGATCTACATTATACAAATACTGTCTTTTGTCCTAAAGTAAGTTGGGAGAGAGTACACAGAAAAACAGTAAGGCACTTTAAGAGCAATGGGAGCCTGGACTGTCTGTCTTAATTTCTTTGGAAGGCCTTGTTTTCTCTTGCAAAAATGTCACAAATAGTTTAGGAGGATAGCTAGTGGTACTGTGTCAATAACTAAAACTTCTTCCTCAAGGGATCAACATCTGTAATACAGGGAGGTGGATAATCTGTTCTAGAGCTTTAATTCCTTACTCTTCTCTGCAGGAGACTCTTTTGCCCTGACTTATAAATATCAAGAGACACGCTTCAGGCAAGAATTACTGTTAGAAACATTCCTGTGACACTGAAGTTCAAACCTCAGTTAGCCTGCCCTGCAGGAACCTTGAGATCTGATGATGTCCTTGGTGATAGTATGTATTGGTGGTGAAACACTTAACCAGGCTCTCTTCCTTGACATCCTAGCAAGAAACCTCAGTGAACATTCTGACTTTCCTTGGTAGCACTCAGTAACCAGAATTTAGAGTGCTAACAGTGATAACCCTCACCTTCCTCGATTGCCCACAAGGAGTTTTGAGCATCAATCTTGATACGTCCTGAAAGATCTGTCATTTATATGAACTGGCATTCGCAGTAGTCTGGCAACAAAGGCCTGACTTTCTGAAGCCATTGCGGCTGTGCTGGAGGGTGGATCTTTTTTTCTGAAGGTTTTGCCTGCCTGTACCTTGTATACTTCTCCCAGACTAATTTCAGTCTGTGCCAATGCATCTGAAAGTACAGTGGGCTTAGAGGCGTTAGGTCCTGGTTTTTATTGCTCCTTACATGAAGTCATTGTATTCTTGATGTCCCACAGCCTTGGGCTTTTCCAAACAGTATAGCAAAAGCTCTGCAAGTATCTGTTAAAGAAACAGGAACTAAATTGTGAACTTAAGGATGTTTTGTCCCTCCACTATGCTAAGTGTTCCTTGTTATAAGCAAGCTAAACCGTGAGTTTGTTGAGATTGATTCTGACGGTCAAGTACCAAATCCTGCTAAAATGGAGAAAGTTCATCTAAGCTGTGGTGCTATTATCTTCACGGATTAGGAGAATGTCTTATTAGCTCCCCTTGGCAAAGCACAGCCTCCAGAAGGGTCAATGCAGCAGCATTCATTTGTTTTGAAAGCATGCACCATGATTTTCCTTCTTATGCTCCTGATTAACAGGCATAGCTATCAAACTACAGTCTGCAAATCCAAGAATCTAATTACTCTTCTGATAAGCTGCATTAATGCCGAAGAAGACATTTTTTCAATAGCGGCGGAAAATGAAATAGTAAGCAAAATCAGCTTGCAAATAGTTTTAGTTGCGTTAAGCATTGCTTTGTTCCAGTGTGTCTGTTAATGTCAGCCCTACAATGGGACTCTGCTCTGCCAAGTCACCCAGGTTCATATGCCTTTTGAGGACTGTGGTATGTGGCAATCTGAACCAAACTGGCATGTGCCAGCTTCTATGGGATGGGCTTTCTCATTGTCTCTTTGCCATGACTGGTCTTTCTAAATCTAGAAGTTTTCTGTGAGTAACCATCCAGAATTATCTCCACTCCTTTCTTCTACCTTAAGCATTACAGTTGTATTATCAGAAGAACATGAGTCAATCACCTCCAAATGCAGGATTTACACATCTACAGTGAATATGGATAAACTTCCTGGAACTCATATTCCCAAAACTTTTGGATTTTCCCTGTAGCTCTCATTAACTTTATGGGTGCATATAGATTGTGTCTTATGTAGACCAGACGGTAAGCAATCAATAGGGGCTTTTTGTACTTGGGACTGCCTTCCCATTCCTGCACGGAGTTTACCTGAACTTCAGAAATATTAGCAAGTATTCCAAGGATTTATTTTTTTTCTTTGAATCATTAATGTATTTCCTTGGAAGGGCCTTCTTTTGAACCACATCTATTATCCCCACACCTATACATTGTCCCGAACCACCGACAAGTGTCAGTTTTCTATTAAAGAAATAGGCCAGGCTTGGAATCCTTGTGTGTGGTTTTTCTGATCAAGTATGAAAGGGAAGTTGCTGTCATGGTGGATTTTGTAGGGGCTTTGTATCTCAATCCTCAAGTGGAGGAATGATGAGGGATTTAATTAGGCTGCTTGCACCTGAGGAGGTTCAGATGGGATCTTAACCTACCCACTCACAGACACCAGTCACCCCACTGTTCAAGTTGACAGCATTTTGTACCCTAATGCTTTTTTTCCGATGAATGGAATTTGTAGGGACATTGCTTTCTTCTTTTCCTAGCCAAGAGTGGGTTTTTTTGCCTTGTTGATGTTCTTAATATGTATGAAGTCTTTCTTACCAGGGATTCAGAAACTAACAAATCATTGTCACAGGGAGGGAGTGGTATTGAAAATTCTCTAACAAGAATAGATCAGTTAAGGAAAATATATGAAACAGAATTAATATATTGATACTAAGTTGAACCTGAGTAGTTCATAGACCGCTATAGAACATCTGACATAAATTTCCATTAATTGCATGTCGTTATCAAACAAGCTGTAGTACAGAGAAACTGAGTTTAACAGATACTGGCTTTTATAGGAGGAGTACGACAAGTACGGGATTCGCATTAGAGTCAAATTCCACAGTAGCTCTGAACTTCATGAACTGAATCCATATCATCAGAGTGGAGGCGAGAAGAGTGTTTCCACTATGTTGTACCTGATGGCTCTACAGGAACTCAACAGGTGTCCTTTCAGGGTTGTAGATGAAATAAATCAGGTGAGTATCAATAGTGTGGTATACAGTCTCTTACTGTGTAGTTGCTTATGACATAGCAGAGAGAACAGACTTTTTTCTTTCTTTCAGGGAATGGATCCAATGAATGAAAGAAGAGTTTTTGAAATGGTTGTGAAAACTGCTTCTAAAGAAAACACATCTCAGTACTTCCTTATTACACCAAAGGTGTGTGGTGGGAAATTAAATTGAAAGTTTAATGTGTAGGAGGGTTGAGTTTTGTGTTATAATATCCCTATAAACACTAATTTATTTCTGTTTCACCTGAGAACTTAATATTAAGGGCAACTGTGGGAGTATTTGTCCATTTTAAGGACAGTCCTGACAGGAATTTGGGCAACTTATACCAAGGCTCATCTCATCATAAACACATACTGTAATTGCAGCCTTTCTGGAAGCATCACAAGTTAACCACCAGTGGACAGGGGTACCATGTAACAAGGCTGTCAAATGTCATGCCTCTAGTTTACACAGAATTGGGATTGTAGCAGAGATGAACTTCCAAAGAAGTCAGATAATGATCTTGGAACTGGCTAGTGCTGCTGATGTCAGAAGAACTAGAGAAGTCCCACTTTAAGGGAGGAGAACTATTCAAGTAATAATCTGAGATTTACAAGCTCAGAAAAGGTCAGGGCTGTGCTCCATGAAGAATGGCTTGAAGAGGACTTTTCAATCAAGAATGACCAGTGCTTACTTGTAGCTATCTTTTTTTAAAAAAAAAAAAAAAAAATTTACTTACTAGGCGATGCGGTGATGTGATGCTGTGGCTTGAAAGAACTAGTAAGTAGGGTGGCTGTTCACCTGTACCTTTAACAGAAGCTAATGTGTTCAACTTCATGCAAGACAGATTGAACCAGTAAAGGTTACTTCTGCAGCAAGGAGACAAGCATTCAGTAATGGGCTGCACACTTATTATTAGGATATCAGTTCTCCTCCATCTTGCACTTCACCGTATTTTAGAAAATCTGGCTGGTATGTGCTATTTTTTTCTGTAAATAGCAGTTGAAGGACCTGAGAAAAGCCACCTACAGCATTTTCCTGACTGAAAGTAAGAGGAAGGTGATGCTTGTTGTTCCTTCTGATCTTGCACTATACTTACTTCCACACAGTTTGGTTGTTTCCTGTCCACATTACTTCTTTCTTGTTCTGTGTGTTATCTATCCCCTTTCGTCTTCTTGCAATTTCTCTCCTTGTTGGATGTGTTTTTCTGTGCTCTCCCCTGCTTTGAGAAATGAGTGTTTGGAAGGATAGAGTTAGCTGTATTAACTAGAATGTTTCCCACATAAAAGGAACTGTAGAAAATTACTGTCTAGGATTCAGAGTCTGTTTTAAAAGTTGTGTTCATTGTCAAGTGAATAAAAGAATAGAGGGAAAATTGAGTGTGTACAGAGCTAACCAGAAAGATCAGGGTAAAAATGAGAAAGCAGAAGTAAGAAATTTCTCAAAGGCTTGGAGAAAAAAAAAAGTCCATTTAACTTTATGGTAAGGGGAAGATCAAGGAGTGTGTTGCGCCACTATTCAGTAGCAAGAGATGGCATTATGAAGAGGGGACTGAAGGTATTTCTTATTTTCTCTCTCTCTCCCTCTCTCTCTTGATCAGCTGCAAGTAGGTGATCACCACAGTTAGCATGAAGTTGTAAAGGCCTACCACAAAGAACGTTATTGAGATAGGACTTCATGTGAAGGTTTTAGCTGATGAGATAGTTTGAGTGGGGTGCATCAGAGGATAATTAAAAGTCTGTACAGAGCAGGCTGACAAGAAAGCCAGACTGCTGTTCCAGTGGCTTACCTGCATTTCCTGAGCCTACACTGCATGTCATCACTTGCTAGAAAGCAAGTATGTAATCACATACTAAAAAGTATGACAAATTGCCGTACTAAGCTAAGTTCCATTTATGTATCCAGTGAATGCAGGAAAAACTATTATGGGTTTTTTCAGTATGTTGACACTTTCCCTAGCTATATTTTCAAGCAAGCTACAGAGGGAAATGGGTATAGGTTAATATGTAGTAGAGTTGCTTAGGAGAATTTTATTCCGAATAGTTGTGATTCAGTCAGAATGAGTAGATGAACTGAATGTATTTCTTAAGAGTGAGTCTTGGGTTTGAAAATAAGTATTTTTAATATAAATCTATGCTGAAACAGATTATACTTGCTAAACATTAAAATAATCACCATGTTGGGAGTGAATGCCTCTTTGTGGTAGAGCAAAGTTAGGATTCAAAACAATCTTAGATTAGGTAACTTTATTTGAAAATGGGATGCATTTCAGCACGGACAAGCATAGGATTTGATGTTTAAGTGGAAAAAAATCAGCAACAGCATATGGTCTAAGACATAAAGGCCTAAATGACCGGAGAGAGAGAAGTTACTGTGGATGACAAGTTGACCATCAGTTGCAAGCAAATTTCTAGAAGTCATCCTGAGCACTGCGGATAGCCCTAGAGATTGCTTGACATCTGCTGTGCTTGTGCCCGACAAGATTTGGGTTATGGTAAATGTCCAGCTTTGGCTGTTACACTTCAGAAAAGTAGTACAGTGGCTGGATTTACTCCAGAAGACAGCAGTGCAACTTTTAAGAAGTTTTGAAAGGTTTGAGTTTCCACTAATGGAAATTGCTTAGCTCAGAGGAGCATGAGGCTGAAGACAGACATAAGAATTGTGCCCAAGTAATTCTACCTCCTCCCCTGCCCGAGCAAAAAAAAAAGGAAAAAAAGTCAATATTCTCTGCCCGTTGTGGATACAACAAAAAAGCACTTATCTCATTTGCAGCAAGAAGGTTCAGATTAGGGACAAAGATCATCTTGTAGTAAGAATAGTGTAATGAAAAAAATTGCTTGAAGAATAAGTGGCATCTCTTTGGGGGCTTTCTGGGAACAAATATACATAATTTGTCAGAAAGGCTATAATCCTGCTATGTTGACCTTTTAAGATCTAAGGCTTTATGCTGACCTCCTTCACCTTTTTTAGATAACAGGGAACATCTCTTCTAGCTATTTTAACTTCGGTTTTTTGTGTTTTTCACCAGCTCCTGCAGAACCTCAATTACAGTGACAAAATGACAGTATTGTTTGTCTACAATGGACCTTTTGCATTGGAGTCAGACAGATGGGATTTAAAGTCTTTCTGTAGGCGGCGGCGGCGACTTGGAAGGATGGATGAACACTGATATGTCTAGATATACATATGTCTAAAAAGTATATAATGTTTTTGTAGAACTTTTTGGAACATCTGGCTTTCAAGACTTCAGAAATTGTGAAAGATGAGAACCTGCAAAGAATCAATGATTAAGAACTTTGATTCCTAAAACTTGTGTTAGAAATGTTTGATTTTGAAGTTTGATTTGAAGTCCATGATTTTTTTTCAAAACTTTTGTAGTGGCCTCTTTCTCTAAAGAACCTACTTTTTTTCAAAAGTAATAATAAAATAAAAAGGAAGTTTCTTGTATTTTGCTATTTTATCAGTAATGTAGCATTAGAAGTACAGTTAATTTTTCTAGGTTATACTGGACTAATTCTGTGTCTGTTTTTTCTCTCCTCCCCCCCTCCCCCCCAAAAAAAAAAAAAAAAAAAGGAATTTGCTTTTGGTAAATAGTGTTCCCCTAACACAGCTAAGGATGTTGTCCAAACTTTTCTTACTGAAATGGAAACTTTGAATGAATAGTGATGATGATGTGTAGGAAGTGAATGGTTTGTAAATAGCTGTGCTTTGATTTTTGTTTTGTGAAAATATACCTGAAGTTACTATAAAGAATATACTATTGTTAGAGGAATATATTTTATTGTTGTTATTTATTATTTTTGAACTAATGTTCCATTTTGTATTCCTGGAAGAATAAGGTCTTTATTTTTCTGGCAAGTCATTAGCAAGGAGACAGAGCCAGGTGCTTTTGAAATAACAAGCTAGTTAGCTTGCAGAAGTGACACTGAACAATATATAACTTTTGGGTTTTTTTTTTGTTTGTTTGGTTGGGTTTTTTTAAGTAAAACTTGGTATGGTTTTGGTGATAGATGGAGAAAAGAGTCCTGCTGATTTCACACATAAGTTAAAACCAGGAGGCTTTTTACAAGGCTTCAGATGCACTGGAGTGATTGTATACACAATGGCTTTTCAATAGATAGCCGTAAAATGAACTAGTGAGGTTTTGGCCCTAGCTGGTAAGCATTTCAAAATAGATTTAATTAACAGAATGCTGAATACCTAAAATAAAGTCCTGGTTATTTAGTTAACTGTAAAGAAAAAAAAAAAAAAAAAGTAACTTGATACTGACTTGTGAAGAGTATGAGTAAAGAAATTAAAACTACGATGGGTGTGTGAAATGTACGTAAAAATAATTGAGTCCCAGGACACCATCTGAAAAAAATGCAGTATGCTTGTTTTCACGAGGAGAGTAGCCTTTAATAGAATTTTATACAAAATTTGGTGTCCACTTTATTTTGAATGGGAGTTTTTCTTAACAGGATCGTGTCAGTGAACTTTGCTAATGGAATTAATATGTCCAGCTTTTTACATTAGAATGTTAGAAATAAAATAACCCACTGCAAGATATAAAATAGGATCTGAAAGGTTTCAGGTATTAAAAGTTATGTACCATAATTCTTGTTTTGAATAGACAAGCCTTCAAGGGAATAGAGAACTGCACATTCTTATATCGCAGGCCACTGTTGATCAATGGAGCTGTGTGTGACTGTGAAATGAATTCCTGGAATAAGTTCCATGAGGATTAGTGTCCATACACAAATATTTGACAGGAGAACTAAGAGTGTGGAAACTTGGGCTGTAGTCCAGGGATTGAGCGGGCCAGCAGAGTATCCTCAACTTCATTGAGGCTACAGGCCTATCTGTCCACTGTACTGCAAGATCTGGGTTTTAAGTATGTTCTTTGATCTTCAAAATATGTGGCTTCTCATAACCTGAACTTTCAAGGTTTTTTTTTTTTTTTAAATTTAATGGAAAAGCATACAATCTGTTTAGCCTCTGAGGATTACTATATGAAAAGTGAGGTTTGTTTTCAGTGTCTAAAGTGAAACTACTTACATGAATGTGTGTTAGGACTCAATTCTTCTGTGGCTAGACAGCACTGACTATTCTTAATGCTGTCATCTTAGAACTGTGTGGGATTTCTTCATAGATTTCACTTCCTTTCTCATGTTTCGGGCTGAGGTATGAAAGATAAGGCTGACTTATTTCAAGAGGATGGCACTTCGGATCCTTTCCCAAAAATTCTGTCTTCTGGATTTGTGCCTGCTGCACTGCACAAGTGAAGAGGGCGACAGGTTTGTGGGTGTTTGCTTTTTCCTTGGAGGTCTTTCAGCTATTGACCAGAGGTCCTGATTTTGATGTATCTGGCTACGATCTTAATGCGGTGTCATTCATATTGCCTTACTTCAGACAGTATAATGAGCTGCAAAATCATACCGCTGTCACGTTACTGACCACTAGAGCTTCACTATCCAGCAGCTGTGCTAGCTAAAGCCTTTAAAAAAGAACCGTAAAACCAACTTTGTGTATAAAACCAGACACTGCTATTTGCAAATGGGCTGTACAAGACTGTGTGCCTCCCATGCGTGTGTTCCCCTTAGTAACCTGCTAATTCCCATGACAGGTGCATCCTGTCCACAGGACTTCTGGCTTAAAAGAAGTCTTGATCGCGCTGTGTATTCAACGTGAAAATCCACACCGAGTAGCTTAGTGTAGCTACAGTGTTACTTAGCATTCTTTACCGGCATATAGGGTCCTTCCCTGCTGCCTGCTTGCTTGCTGTTCCTCATGCTTTACTACTTCTGTTCAGCTCCTCAGGGACTCTTGGCTATAAAAACCTACAGAATTAATTTCAGTGTAACTTTGAGAAGCTGGGGGATGAGTGGGAGTTTAGGTTAAATATATACGTATCATCCAACTTTTCCTGCTGACTAGACAGGACCTCTCAAAAATGTGGAAGTGGAAAGACCCCAAATAGTCCTGACAGCTGAAGTATAAATTGAGCTTTCTCCCCAAAATAGGTACTTTGGTGTTTAGACCAGCTGAAGACTATGTCAAAGATCCTCTTCCACCACCATCTGCAGTTCTAAGAAACATCTGTGTCTGTTTATGTATTGAGACAAAGAGAGAGAAACAGCATGGAAATGGTGATTTATGTGAGAAATAAAAAGATCTTGAGAAACCAAATACTGAAAGGCACTTATAAATCACCTTTTGCTGTATTTTATGACTGTAGATGGCACTCAAGCATGTATGTTATTGTTAACAGGAGACGTTGCTTAGATGAAGCAGCAAACTAGAATGAGGAGGGACGCTTGCACAACTGCAGTGCTTTTAACATGCTTACATGAATCTTTGGTTTTTATTGGAAGACAAATACATGAGGCCTGTTAAGGCTGTAGCTGGCTGGGAAGGTCTATTCTCCAGGCTTTGGAGGTTGTGAGAGATGATGAGACACACAGGCAGTCTAGGCTGCGGGATGCTTACTGAAAAGTATGGTGGGTGCTCTTCAGAGACCAGTACTGACCAAATTTTACTTAGAATTAACATTACTCGAGGCTCTTGTGTATGTATTGTTCATGTCAAGATGCCCCCCTCTTTTGTTACTAAGCTCTCTGGCTGATGCTTCCTTTCTAGAAGCTTCTGGACCATCTTCAAACACTGTTTCCTATGGATTGTGGAAATTGACTTGGTTTTCTTCCCTGAGCTGGCAGTTACCTGCTTGTTCCGTTAGCAAGACCTCTTAATTTTCTGAACATCTCTTACTAATAGGCCTTAATTTTTACCTCGTTTGCCCATTTCACATGCCATTCCATAGTGTGTTCTTGAAAGCAAAGTGATAGAGCAAACAGATACATAAGATGTGAAATTTGTCATTCTATTTCACACACACTTGGTTAACATCCATGTCTGATACTGTTGATTCTGTCCACGCTTAAGCTTTGGATTGTGGGGTTTAGCTGGAGGAGGGAAGGAAATGTGAGAAGGATCTGTAATTCAAGATGCTTGGTGGTTGCTAAACTGAGCAGGGGTCCTGTGGCTACCCCTGGGAGCAGGCTAAGGGATGGTCCCACACAGTGCAAAATTCCTTCTCTTGTCCCTACACCCCACAGCCTTCAAGACCACATGTGCCGGGAAAGGAGCACTATGCTGGAGCGAGGGGCTGTATTGTCTCAGCAATACCTAGCAACTCCACATCAAAAATAAAATTTTATGGAAGCTGTTTCGATGTTTCATGCATCGTTGCCCTGTCTTCTCTCCTGTCTATTTGTCCTGCTTCTTGAAAGGAGCACTGTAGTTTCTTCTGATTTGATTGGCACAGTATCTGATGGGAGGTGTCTGGCAGGAGAGCTACATCACGGGAATATGGGGGAACCTTGGCACCCTGGCTTCACTGTAAATAACTTTGAGCCATAATTACTCTCTTCAGTTCTGACTCACTGAAACATAATGTTCAAAATAAAATTTCCTAGAACTTTTTGTTACAGAAGCATTTTTTTTTCCCAGTACCTTGCTAATTAAGAATAAAATCAGGATTCAGTACGTCATAATTGGGAGGAGATAGGGATGAGCATTAAATCCGCCTCTTCTCCAAGGAAAATCCTCCTCCTGTACCAGCCTGAACATCTGAAAATTGCACGAATGTTTCTCTGATGTTGCACTCACAGACTAGGCTTGCCGAGAGCCATGCTTCTCCTCTGAGGCTTAGTGATCCAGCTGTCCTTTGCACGTTAGGACAGCCTGGATGAAAACCAGTGTTTTGTATTCAGGGGGTGATTTAGTAGTTACTATACTTCTTTTTAGTTCAGTGCTAACTTTAGCCAGTGACAAGGCCAAACTGCTGAATGGGGAGAGGGGACAAAAGTGCAGGAACCAGATGTGTTTAGTCATTGAAAGCTTTCCAGGCACCACTGTGTCAGTGTGGAAAGCCAGCAGGGAAAACAGAAAAAAATAAAGGCAAGTAGCAACAGCAGAGGCAGAAGGTAAAAGAGGCGATAGATAACCAGCACTACAGCAGTCTACCTGCCGACGTCCTCTCCTGTGGCTCACCTATTTCCCAATGGCACAATCCCCTGCCAACAGTTTGAATCTCGGTGCTTTCCACCAAATTCCACCAGCTTTTCTCCACTATTCTGCTCCCCACTTGTCCAGTCTTGTGTTGATTTATTATCCCCACTAAGTCAATGTTTTTTTTGACGGGTGTACTGGTTTGGGCTGGCATAGGGTTAATTCTCTTCATAGTAACTCACATGCAGCTATGTTTTGGGTTTGTGACAAGAACACTGTTGGCAACATAGGGATGGTTTAGCTGTTGCTGAGCAGTGCTTGCACATTATCAAGGCCTTCCCTGTTTCTCGTGCTGCCCCACCAGCAAAACAAGTTTACAAGGAGTTGGGAGAGGGGGACACAGCTCGGAGAGTTGACCCCAACTGACCAAAGGGATATCCCATGCCATATGACATCGGGCTCAGCACTAAAAGAGAGAACATCATAAGTAAGCTGGAAAGGAATGACAAAATTCACTTTGTTTGGGATAAGAAACCATGGACAGTAGTGGACAAAGCTGGTTTTGCATGAAGGAGGGAACAGATGACAACCTGAGAAGGTGGCGGCAGAAGATACCAAGGAGCCTTGGCAAAGAACAGAGAGCAGAATATGGCACAGGTAACGTGCAACATGGATGGCTCAAAGCAAATGCATGCTTTAAGGAAAGTGGGATCATGTAATTTAAAGGGGAATAATCTTCAATTCCCCCTTCCCCAGATTATAACCAAAACTGTGGACTGTCAACATC